CCGCCCCCGCCGAAGCATGCTCAATTGGCTGGTTCGTTTAACCGAATAGACGTAGCAACAAGCTCCCTCAGGAATAAAAAGGGTCAAACACAATGTAGTACTAATAATGATCAAAGAACACAATCCACAAGTTGCAATTCTGAATTAAATGTGTTATGTGAAGGAACCTATTCGGGATCTCATTTAGAATTATTTAATGGAGAAACTGCATCCTCTTTCGATGACTGGACAATTAGATTTCTAGATTATCTTGATGTATATGGAGCAAACTGGACAGAATCTGATAAAATAAATAGACTAAAACTAAACTTAGGCACGCAAGCCCGACACATTTTTGAAAGCCTATCGCCAAGTGAACGAAGTCCCATAGAGAATGCAATTAAAAATATTAGAGCAAAATTAGACAGTCCACATTTCAGAGAGCTCGCTCATAAAAGGTTAGCAGCTTGCTACCAAAGGGAAGGTGAACTAGTTAGTGACTTTATTAAGCGATTAGTACCTTTAGTAAACGCAACCACGCCTCATATACCAGTGGAAGTACGAGAAGAAATAATGTGTAGATGCTTTACAGAAAAAGTTAGGCCTGAATTTCAAAGAACCCTTCAGATGGTAGGCCCATTAATTGGACGTAAAGATTTTGATAAGCTCACTGCCTATGTACAGGAACTCGAAGTTGCTTCTGAAAGGGAAGGAAGAACCGGTAATGATGGTATCCATGCTATTGCAGATATGTCTAGTCAGCAGTTGCCTAAAGGAAGATTCACAACTTGGAGACCAATAAGTACATATAATAGTCCGCAACCCTCTAGGGGATATAATGGGAACGTTTCAAACAGATACGCAACATCTAGCAACGCGCAAAGATTAGGTTATGGAAGCTATCAGGCAAGAAATCAATGGCTTCCACAAAATGACAGAAGGTGGAATAGCCGACCGTTCTGCCATTTTTGCCGCAGAACAGGGCATGATCAATACGATTGTAGAGAACGCAGGCAAAATAATTCTTTTAATAATAGAAATAACTATCAGAGAGATAATAGAAATAGAGAAAATAAAGAAATTAGAGAAGTGCTAGATAATTTAGTAATTCAAATGCATGAAATGAGAATGAATGCAAACCATGCTTCGGCTAATCATCAAGGGAATATAAGGTCATTGCAACCAGTACAGTCTAGTAGGACACCTGAAAAAGCTAAAAGTACTAATGAAAAGGGTGAACCAAATAAAATTCCTAGTTGGGAAAATAAAGGTCGCAGAGTAAGAATACCTTCACTTATGGGAACGACTCTCTTGTTAATAGCAATGTTTTGTAGTACATTTGCGATTAATCCTGTATTAATCCCCAAGGGACCAATGATATGTCAAAAACATAAACAGGCAATAATTTGGGAAATGCCTGAAATTCCCAGCTGTCCCATGGTTAATTTAACAGCTAAGCATACTCCGGTAGTAGAAAGAAGAAGAATTTATGTCCCAAATAGTACTGAATTTTCAACCAAAGCGTGGGCCTGTAGAAAGATAAAGAAAAATGCGAGAAAATATACAACAATAAAAGGAATCCCAGTTGAAGAAAAATTAATTCATGAAGAGTTAGATTTGTCTGTAGAAGAGTGTAATCAGATGATAAAGCATCATAGTTGTAGCTTCGGCATTCTTAAGGATAATAATAAGCTTTGGCAAACTGAAAATAAAATTGATTTAACTCCTAGGATGTGGTTTATGGGATCATTCTCCTGGAAAAATATTTCGAGTGAAAACTGTTTCCTATTTGAGAGCAGAATTGATTCGCATTTCGGTGCAGAAGAGGTTGTAACGCCGCTAGGATTAACTAGGGACTGTCCTTATACTAAGGGTAATTGTATATTGGAAGATAAAACCGTTTTAATTTGGGAAGTGGACAATCAAAGGAAATGTAATTTTATTCCAATCGGAGAAAAAGAAGGCAGATGTAACATTTGAAACATTCATTCATGACTGTGGGAAGAACATTTCAGTCTCTGATCAGGGTTTAGGATCGATAGTAATCTCAACCTTGGAACTTACTAGAAGGAAGCGAAATACGGATAGAGCTTATAAGCGAACATTTTCTGACGGACTTGTAACCTCTTCTCAGTTAGCGTCGCAGCTCACATATTTAGATGCCGTTCATACTAAAGCAGTAAATTTTGCGTTCGCGCAATCAATTAGGTCATTTTGTGAATTTACTGAAATGGTAAAGCACTGGGTAGAATCTACTTACATGTCGGATCCAACTGACTTGGCCCGTTCGCTCTTTTCCAATTCCTATTTAGTTGCAAAGAAGTCAGCCAGATCTTTAATGAAAGTTTGGCCATGTGTACCTCTAGAAAAAGAAGATTATGAATTTTCTCCCACTAAATTAGACCAATGTTTTGAATTCTTGCCAATTATTTTGAAAACTGAGAGCAAGGAGCAGCTGGCTTTTGTCGATCCAGTAACAATGATCGTTTCCCCAACATCCAAAAAGGGTCCCTGTGAAGAATTTAGGAATATAATTATACAGATTAATGATCAAGTCTTAGAAGTTGATCAAGTTGAAGGAAGAATTACTTCGGTAAAACCAAGGATATTTTTATGGCCTGAAGCCAAATTTAATTTTACTAACATGATTCCAAATATTGAGTCGCATGCGTTTCATCAGCTAGTTTTATTGAACATGACAGATATTAAGAACCATGCATTTGTAAGTAATTTAATAAAAGTAAGTCAAATGACTTACCAAATTCACGAAAAAGATTCTATCATATCCATGTCAATGTCTAATGAGTGGCAGGAAGTTGAAAATCAAATTGAAAAGGGAATAATAGGGGACTATAAAAGCATTTGGGAAACTATTATCTCAATTTTAGTAGTAATTTTAGCACTAGACTTTGGAATAAGGTTCGCAATGATTATTGCTGAAATGTATGCTGGAAATGGACGTCTAGGTAGACTAATATTTGGCCCTGAAACACCAAAAGCTTCGATTCCACAGAGAAGATTGGACATTCAACGTGTACCAGAACCCATTGTAGAACTAGATAACATTTATGAAGAGCCAATAAATAGGCCACTGTCAATATCTTGGCCCCCATCAATAAGAAATACTGTAAATGCAAACACTTTACCAAGAAACACCACAAGTACAAGACCTAGGTCTACTTTAGGATTTAACAGAACTAGCGGGTTTATAGGAACATTAGGAGCGAGTGCTAACACAGTAATAGTTGATGTCCCCTTAAATACTGTACCTGTAAAATGTTTAATTGACACTGGAGCAATTACCTCGGTAGCTAACATTGCTTTAGCAGAATGGTTGGGTACAAAAATTTTTCGAACTGAAACATACCTCCAAAGTGCCTCAGAGCACTCCATGTGTGCAAAGCAGGCCACTAGTGTGCAATTAAAAATCGCTGGAGTAGTAGTTGAAATTGTAATTCATCTTTTTAATGATAAATTCCACTGGGATAACCATGATTATCACTTTATTATGGGGTGCGACGCACTAGCGCAGTTGCCTCCTTTTATTGTAGATTTGAAAAATAAAATGTTTTGTATAGAAGGAAACCAAATATGTATTGAAAATAGAATAAATAGGCCTCTCAGAAATCTGAAAATACATGCATTAGAGACTTGTGAAATAAGACCTAATCAGCAGTGTAATAAAAGCCAAAATAAATTTCCCTGAATTGCTTAGGCATAATATCTGGATTCACTCAATGGATGATAGACTTGAGGAAGAAGGTTTAAGTTTTGTTCCAGTAGTAACCAATCCCAAGGATGGTGTAGTGCAAATTATTTTAGCCAATCCAACAGGCACAACTAAAAGATTATTTAAAGGAAGGACCCTAGGGTTAGCAAGTGAAGTACTAAAAACTGAATCTGAAAATATTTTAGCAGAAACTAACTTTAGTGAGGAAACACAGGAAATATTTTCTCTAGGGAAGTCAGGGGTGACTATTGATCCAACTTACAAGATTGACTTCGAAAAAGCCACTGTAAAGGGTGAAGACCTTAATAAATTAAAAGAACTTTGTGAAGAATTTGAAGATATATTTAGTAAAAGCCAGTATGACATAGGGAGTTGTACAGCAGGCGAGCATGACATAATTACAACATCTGAGGAACCAGTTGCCTCTAGGCCTCATCGGGTACCGTTTAAGTATCGAGATGAATTGCAAAAGCATATCGACCAGCTATTAGCCTCAGGGGTGATGGTTGAGTCTGATACCCCATGGGTATCGAACATAGTATTAGTTCAGAAAAAGGATGGTGGGCTTAGGCCATGCATTGATTTTAGAAAATTAAATGAAGTGACAGTAGCTGATCACTTTCCTCTCCCAAGACTTGAAACAATTTTAGAAAAAGTTGGTAATTGTAGATATTACTCATCTCTTGACCTTGCTAGCGGGTATTTGCAAATTAAGCTTAGTGAAAGGGCCTCAAGAAAATGTGTATAATTGCTGAGGATAAAATTCATCAAATGATAAATTTACCATTCGGTCTTAAAAATGCTACTAGTGCGTTCGCGCGAATAATGGATCATGTACTTACTGGACTTGAAAATGTGATTGCTTATGTTGATGATATATTAATTTTCACTAAGTCTGAAAATTTTGATGAGCATATTAAGGCCCTCAGAAGTGTTTTTGAAAGATGTAGGCGTTTTAATTTAAAATTAAGCCCCAAAAAGTGTACCTTTGCTTCGGCATTTATCAGGAATTGTTATTTACTCTTCGGCGGCTGCACGGAATTAATTACTGACAATGCTTTGGCATTTACTTCAGAGTTTTTCAAAAGTCTGTGCAATGTTGTACATTAATAAAACGTATGCCATACCTCATTGGAGCAAAGGCAATGCAGTGACTGTGAGGTCATTCAGAAAATTCCACGATATTCTCGCTAAGTGTATTACTAAAGACCAGCCAGATTTCGATGAACATCTTGAATTCGCCAACTTTTGTTATAACACCTCGGTCCACCATTCAACAAATGAAACCCCATTCCTTTTGATATACGGCAGAGATCCAATCTTTTGCGTTGATTTAATTCTTGATCCTAAAATTAGAGATCCTATAGCATCAAATGATACACAAGAAATTAAACAAAAATTAATAGTTTCTTTGCGAAGCGCTTGGAAATATGCAGCGGAAGCCAATTTTGAGGCACAGCAAAGGTCAAAAACAGATAGATTAGGAATCCCACTGTAACAATCGGCGATAGAGTGCTTCTTCGGAATTATGCTGGTAAAATAGGCTCATCCAATTTAATCAGCTTAAGAAAAGTATAGAGCCACTCCCGACTGAACCGGTTTGCACAACTCCTAGGTTAGAAGCAGAAGAGTTGGAAGCGTTAGAAGAATCTGGTGCAGAATAAATAGTTAACACGCCAGGATTCTCGCAAAGTAAAGTAGCTGAGCCAAATTCAGAAGTAGCAGAAGGTAGTCAGGTTGAAGTAGTAGTTCGCCAGGGACTAAGTAGATACAATTTAAGAAAAAGCCCAAAAAACAGATAATACTTATAATTGCTTCGGCTATCAAATGGATTTAAAATTTAAATTTAATATAAAAAATATATAAAAAAATATATAATATTCCTTTAATTAAACAAATTTCCTAGATTTTCAATAGTTTTGAGATGTGCTTCAACAAAGTACCGGATCCTGAATTATGGAAGAAAGATGAAATGGAAGAAGAAAATATTATTAATGAGGAAGAAGAAGAGCCCAGGAATATTGAAAATGACGAAGAACCAAGGGTCAACATCTTCAGAGATTGGATTGAAGTTGTTGAAGAAGATTGGCCAGAAGAAATGGAAATGAATGAGGTTGACGAAATGGGTAAAGAGGATGAAGGAGAAAAGAAAGAAGAAAATAATGAGGATAAAGAAGAAAAAGACGAAGAGGAAGAAGATGATGATGAAGAGATTGAGCTGGGAATTGAGGTGACAGAAGCTATTTGGAATTGAGGTGACTGAAGCCCATTTTGCAGTGAGAGTTGTTAAAAAGATAAATCTTTCCCAAGTTCAGTCCTTCGGGAATAAAAAGTTTGATTTTTGGAAAAGTGTTAAGGTTATTAATGTTCAAAAGCGGAAGAACAGGGATGTTGAGCAGGAACTCGAAGACGCGAAAGATGGCGGTTTTATTGTTTGTCATCCACTAATATTCAAAGGTCTTGAGAGTCGACGTGATTGTTTTGAACAACACTAACCGTCGATGTTGTCAGCCAGAGTACGAATCAAGGTAAACTCCTCCTCGCCTTAATAGCTCGTGAATTTGAAACAGATTTTGATGATGAAGAACCAAATGCCTCGGCAGTCCTCATTGTTCACCCACTAATGAATATGTTAAACGGAAAGCAGCAGGAGACCGCTAATTTCTCTTGGAAGATGATTGCAAGTTTGTTTTCCAATAGGCGCCACCAGGCGTTTGAAAGACTCATTTAGCTTCAGTTATGATGCACTGATGCTTTCCATTTTGAACAATGTGAAGGTGTTGTAGCTGCAGCTAATTTGCCTTTGGCAAAGCTAGCCAAGAAGTTGGAGGAGGTCCTCTGATGTCATGCGATGGCGGATTCCAACGCAATAGCATTTTTCTCTGGCTATTTGATATTCTTGAAACTTGTAGACAGGACAACACTTCTCACTCTTTGTGCAATGATTAACATTCGGCTTCTGCCATTAAATTGATTTCTGCGTTGTACGACAAAATTTCCACCGATATTTCTCTGGCTGTTATTTGTTTATGTACATTTCAGAAAGAGTCTCTCCAGAAAGCGTTTGAGAATTTGGGTCAGAATGTGTTGGTTGTCACAGTTTATGAGTATCAGACCACTGGCGTTGAGTCGTGCTAAGCACGGTCTCTTCGTTATAGCTGACTTTGAAACACTTCGATGTAGAATTATCTGGAATCGGTTCATCTGTTGTGCAACTGAGTTCACTCAAATTGTCGGTCCGGAATATCTTCAAGTCCTCCAGTCGGGTAGTTGTATGCGAGATAGGTTCGGTCAATTGTTGTCTTCGTCGGGTCGGATGGTCGGTGACTTTGTGGATGAGCAGTATCCCCCTCAACACAACAACAACAGCCTTCAACATCTTCATATGGTTTCGGCCGCACTTCTGGATCAACTAATAATTGGAGCAGAAATGATAGGAATTCTAGAGATAATGAGTGGTTTGAAAAAGACTTAAATTTTAATAAAAATAATATAAATACTAATTTATCAAATTACAGGAAAAGACCAGCTCAACGAAACTGGAAAGAATATGCTAATACAACATTTGAGAGGAGCAGGACCAATACATGTTTCAACTGTGGGCGCACTGGACATATTGCTCGAAATTGTAATTGGAATACTTGAAGGAAGAATGAGAGTTGGAGAGGCAGAGGAGGAAAATATTAAATTTGTGTTTTTAATCAATTAAATTTTTTTTGTACTTAAATACACATTCTCACTTCCTATTAATTATTTTAAACTGAATCTTATTCATTAATGTAATGTCATTTACAAATCTTTCCCATTATTTGTTTTGGTTTTATTAATCTTAAATTTTTTTATAACATGCCTTACCTATAATTTCAATTTCTTCACTTAATCAAAATTATTTAAATTTATTAATTCAATTTTAATCATAGTTCATTTATTTATACATTTTAAATGTCAATCAAAATGTTTTCCCAATATTTCTTACCTATTGTTAATATATACTTAAATTTTTTTAAACTTTATGCCAATTTGTATTAATCCACTTATATTACATTTTGTCATTTTTTTTACAAAATTTTTACCCTCACTTAAGTACATTTTATAATTATACTTTTAAGCTTAAACTCCCACTAATTCATTAAATTTAATACATTTATTAGTTTAACATTTTAAATTCTTAAATTGTCAAATTTCATTTAAATTGTTACAAATTTTACAATTATATTTATAGGACTTACAATTGATTTACTCCCTCACAAATTATTTACATTTACTCTATTAATTTTTAAAGAATCTTTCACAATTACATTTAAAAATATCCCAAATTTTTTTTTAAATTACTATTTATGCTCTTCTATTATATAATTCCCAACTTCAAAATTATTGTTTTTGCAAACTTTTAAAATATACCCATTTATACCCACAAATCAAATGTTATTTATGTCAAAACTTTTACATCAATTTTAAATGTTTATTCAAAATACTTAAAACTTTTTCTATTAACCTTTCAACCAAACCACTTATACCCAAATTTATTTTGTACGTTATTTTGAGAATATTCCTTTACCAATTCTCTAAATATTTTCTATTACAAGTTTTACTTTACTCATTTGTACCCAATTTTTTTATCACATTTCAAACACTTCGGTAGTTTTCTGGGTTTTTTAAATTTTATTTCACACAATTGATTTATGAATTTATATTTTTATTCAAAGCGTTACCCGTTTAATTTATTTTATAATTTCACAAACATTTCAATGTCACAATTTATCCTTATTTTTAATTTTTGAAATTTATATGCATTTTTACTCGTACCCATATTTTAATACAAAAGGAAACATACTCACCTGAAACCTGAAGAAATTTTAGGAATACAACCCCAACTAGACTAAACAGACTCTGAAACTCTTACAATTACAATTATATCAAACCCCACTACTTAATAATATCAAGTGAAATTTCTCATGAAATAATCGATAAGCACTAAAAATGGACCAGGGTCGGTCCAAAAAAGGAAAAAGGAGAGATATGCTCGAAGAGCACAAAAAGAAATGTGATAAATAAAGAAGAAATTTAAATTAGGTTCGCCATCTCACCAGAGTGCTTATCGATTGAGAAAATAAATGTGAATGGTCATTATTTAAGTAGTTTGGGAAACGATGAAAAATTAAATTTTGAAAAATAAAATAAAGTCTGTTAAGTCTAGATTAAGACCAGGGACGGTCTTGATGGGAAAGGGACGTGTAAGGGTCAAAGGTATTCTCGGAGTTTGTTTCCTATAGTTTATAGTCATTTTATTATTATTCATTTCCCTCCCACTTTTCTCACACATTTAAAAGGATTTGTAATCACCTTGCAAGTGTCTTATTGTTCATTCACTTTAATGAAATAAATAATGTTTTAATAAAGCTTTTAATATTTGGATTTAATAAATATATAAATTGTGTTCAATTGTGTATGCCTGGTGCAGGAGATCGACCGGGGGCCTGATCAACCCTTTGGTTCCTCTTAGGAAGTCCCGGGCATATCCCCTCCCGTATTCCATCATTCTGGGGTTTGGGCCCACCGCATGGTAATATCTTATTCCGGGGGTCCCACCTCTACTTTATTTAAGCATTCAAGGTAATTTATTTATTCATGAATGCAGTCTACTTTGTCTACACCTAAACTTGTTTTAGAGAATTTTAACAAAGTATAAATACAATTGTTTTTGTATGAAATCAAAAAGTTTTATCAAAAGTTTATTTTCCAAAGTTATTAAAGTTTATTTCAATTACCAACAGAAAAATTATTTTTAAATAAATTTTTAAACATTTATAGTCAATGCCAGATTTTAAAATTCTTGCCAATGCGCAGAGAGAGGTGAATTCAAAATTAGAGATCGGAAAGGGTCCGGGACCCGGACCCGTTTCCCGGTTTTCGGTTCCCCTTTCCCGGTTTTTTGAAGCAACCGCCCGGTCCGGGTCCCTCCCGGACAACTTTCAGAACCCGTTTCCCGGCTCCCGGACCCGGTTTTTTCAAAATTACGATTTCTATTCAAAATTTAAATAAATACTATTTTCACAAATTAAAATTTTATTTTATGTAATTTTTAATAAAAAATATGTATTTTATTTTTATTTTAAATAAATTTTTATTTAAAGTAGGCTTTCAAAATTTCAAAAGTTTATTTTATTTATTTTGTTTATGCTTTTCATTTTACCGACAATATTTCCGGGCCTCTTAAACATTAAAAATCTTTAAACAAAATAGACATTCACGTGTTAACTATCACGCCATAATTTTTTAAATTAAATTTTCAATTGATTATTTTTGATTGACTAATTTCCAACAAGTAAATATTTAGAGAGATTTTTATTTAAATTTAAAGTATTTAAGAGAGAATATTAGAGATAGAAAGAAAAAAATAGAAAATTAAAAATTTAGTTGAAAAACATTTCTACAACTTTAAATTTTGTTTTATGAGAGGATCTTAATTAAATAGTATAATGTTTTTAACTGAAATAAACTACTATTTTCTAAAGAAAAAACATTTCTATGTTTAAAAACAAATTTTTTTTATTTTCCCTCAAATATCAACAATACCCTCTCCAAACTTCAAATATTATAAAGCTTTTTGTTTTAGAGAATATTTTTAAATAAAAACATTTATAGTCAAAGCCAAATTTTGAAATTTTCAGCGGCGCGTTGCAGGGGGGAGGATAGGAGGGAGAGGAGGGAGAGGAGGGGATGGAAGGAGAGGGGATATGTGTATGTACATATATGAAGGGAGGGAGGGAAAGCAATTGCTTAATTATTTATTCTTAATAATTTTTATTAGAAATCAACATTACACAAATTCACTCTCTCCCTCTCTCCTTTCCAATAAAATAAATTTAAAATAAAATAAAATTAAAAAAATAAGAAGAGAGATAGCAAAATCTCTGAAGAGGCCAAGAATGTCTCCAAACTCTTTGAATGTGTATATTAAGACCAATAATAGGAAAGGTTCTGTCTACGAGTAGGAGCAGAACTAGCTCGACTTTCAAATATTTGGTATTTGAAGAAATATCCTTTTTTCTTTTATTTTATAAGCAAGAGGTACGGGTAAAATTAGGGGTGGTATACGGTTAAAAAAAATTATAAATTTCCATTCAACCTAATAAATATCTAATATTTATTTATTTATTTTTACAAAGATGAAATTTTTGATTACTTTTTTATTCTTTATTATTAACAATTTTATTTTAAACCTGAATGCATTAAAAAGTGATTTTCATGTGGAGGTGGTACCGAAAGAACATTCTTGGAATATTAAAATATTTTGTCAAGAATGTTTAAATGAAAAATACAAAAAAGTAATTTTTCTTAAGATTTTATACACATAAAAATGCACTCTTTATTAATAACTGCTCAACTTAAAAGGTCTGAAAGATTGACCCAATAATCCCTGTAGCAAATGTTGAAACACTAATTACCCCCTTAAAACTAGTTATGATTAGCTTGCCTAAAATAAACTCTAATAATTACCCTTCCTCTATTAATTACCCAGGGTAATTAATAGAATATATACAGTAAATGCATCAAAGTAAAAAACTTAATTTTAAGGTATTACCCAAAGATTACGTAGGTACAACATTCACCCTTGAACATGAAGAAGGTATTAGTGGGTTACATGTAGTAATTAAGTCAACAGAAAAAATTCTTGGTCATCAAAGGGTAAATTTTATTTTATACAAAAAATTTAAATATGTATATCTGATGCATAAAGACATTTCTTTTTTAATATCAAAATTATAATTAAAAATTAGCAAACTTTTCATAATTTAAAAAGTTTAAGAAAAGCATAAAAACATTTAAAATCTTTAGTAAAATATTTAATTGGCCTAAACTAAAATTTATTAAAATTATTTAAGTCTCAAGAATGGACTCTTACTCCTCAACAAAATAATGAGAAGTTAAATGTTTTTAATTTTTTAAAATCACATCAATTTAATTTTGGTTATTTTGAACCAAATGAACAATTTGAATATTTTTTAAAAATTAAGGTATATATTAATAAAAATATTTTTTTAACTTTATCATTCATTGTCGTAAAATGACACCTTTTTAACACATTAAAAATTTAATCAGTACAACTGAATGGAAAATTACTCTGAAAAATAAAAATTGGGTTACCCCATAGAAAATTTAGTGGGCTTTCATGCTTCAAAAATTATAGGCTATAAATTGTCCAAAAAATTTATTACTTACCCTGTTCCCAGGTTATAATAAAATAACATAGGTATCTAAAGGTCAGTCCCCGTGAATCACATATGTTCACTATAGAGAATTCATAAAAAAACTTTCAATATGAAAACTTAATTTTAAAAATTATTAGACTTTTGAACATAATCCAATAATGATACCTAAAAATTATTTTGCGTATGTTGAAGGATTTACGGTTGAAATTAATTTAAATACTCAGCATGTAAATGGAGAAGTATTTGACATTTATTTGCCTGCAGAAGGAATACAAAATTATTTTACCAATAATAAAACACCAGTGCTAAATGTCTGTGTGTATATGGTAATATATTTTGAATTAATAAATTGGGGGATATTGCTTGGGGGATTTACATAATAATAATTATGAAATAAATTTTGAATAATAAATACCTAGAATGTTTTAAAAATTTAGAAAACTTTTTGCCGTTCTTGTAGAAAAGATGAAGCAATCTACATAGTTCGGGTATTCCTTTTAAAAAAATAAAAAAAAAAGAAATAAATAATTTAATTAAGGGAAAGTATTTGTGTTCGGAATGTGTAAAGAAAAGAAAATATAAAAAGTTAAGTAAGGAACAATTAGCTGGGATGTGCCATACAATTAAAAATCCAATTTTACAAGTAAATACATATAAAAATAATTAAAAACAGTTTAAATAGGTATATCTTTAGAATGGCGAAAATCCTCAATTTGAATACATTTTTGATTTAAACGACAAACATGACGATGATACTATGAATTATGCAGAACTTATAGAATTTGAAGGAGGAGAGTCTTCAGAGTAAATTATAATTAATTATTTTCTTTTATTCTTTTTTAATTTTTTTTAAATTTTTACAATAATTAAAAAAAATTAATTTAAATATTTTAAGCGAGGAAGAAAAACTTGCGAAAATTTTTGAAAGAGTTAAGCTTGCTGATGAAGAATTAAGAAACCAGAGAAAAAATGAAGAAATTGCTAGTACAAGTTCTCAAGGAGGGAATCACGAACAAGCAATTGAACATCCCAAAAGTTTTTTTTCAATTAGTTTCAAAAATAATTAAAATAATTAAAAGGCAATTACGGAGAAGTGTCTAATCACCCGACATATGATCCTCATGGAGTTGGTTATCCACATTATGGACAAGGTTATACAGACAATGTATACCCTCCTCATAATTATTATGGAGGTACAATGCAACCACAGGGCATGCTTCCTGTACATCCAGGTAAATTATTATTATTATTATTCGAATTGAAAGGCGAAAGGCCAAATCAATTTTAAATAATTTGGAGAAAACAATAAAATTCTCAACTCTCAGAACAAATGAAATATAATTATTATTAATCTTATAGTCCTTAGTAAAATATTTTGTAGTTGTTAATATTACTGTTATTTATTAATTTTAGGGAGTGGACATGGTGAGCCGATAGAATCATGGACAGACCCAAACTTTAATCAAAATGAAAATAATTATTCAAATTATGAAGAAGAAAGCAGTTGTACTATATGTTGATTATAGTATATAGATGTAGATGGGAATTAAAACTAAAAATTTAAATTTTTTGGGTAGGTAAAAAGCTCTAAAATTCTAGTCGAAAGAAAGATTTCAACAAAAAATTTTATTTTAAAGATACCCTATTTTCTCGCTTAATTCCCTCCCTCGATTAATTCCCCTCCCTCGATTAATTCCCCATGCTAGAGTTGGGTTGAAACAAAAATTCCCCGCCCCCAAATACCCAACTGCACGTTCAAATGCCCTCCCTCGAATAATTCCCTTCCCTCGATTAATTACCCATGCCATGATAGGTTTAAAAAATAATTCCCCAGGGGAATTAATAGAAAAAATACGGTAGATCCAGTTATCAGTCTCACAGTTAGTCAATTCTTTTACAGTATTGGACAAAAAGATAGAGAAAAAAGTTTTAAATTAAAAATTATTAATCCGGCAAATCTTGTAATCTTTAAATAGAGAATTACAGTGAATATTTAAAAACGAACAAAAAAATCTTTTTTAAAATTAATTTTTAACTGAAAAAAGTATTAAGTAATTTTAATTTCACCTACTTTGTCCCCCCTGTCTATTTGTCCATTATTTTATTTAAATTAATTTATTTTTTAAATTTTTCTGTTAAGTAATTCTTTATTTTTATTTATCTCTCTAATATTCATTTTAAAATATTTATTTTTAGGGTTAAATATCAGGGCTGTGCGCCAAAATTTTCGCGTGGCGCGCCAAACGCCAAACGCCAATTTTTCAAATTTTAAAAACACGCCAAACGCAAAACGCCAAAAATCGGCCAAAATTAACGCCAAAACGCCAAACGCCATGACGCACAGCCCTGTTAAATATCTCCCCCTCCCCCCCCCCCCCCCCCCCCCCCAAAATATTTTTAAAAAGTTTTTCTCTTTAAGAGAACACAAAAAGTAATTAACTTTATTTTTAAAGTAAAATTATTTTCAATTATTTTATTAATTTTGCAATGTTTTGTTATTTTCTTTTATTTTATAAAGTTTTTTTGGGGATTCGAACATTTTTATTAAAAATATTAATTATTTGTGTGTATGTATATGTAAAGAGCGATTTGAAATCAGAAACTACACAAATATCGAAATATTTTGAATGGTCAAATGAAAATTAATTTTCAAAATAAATATTTATTTATAAGTTTTTTTCCTAAAAGTAAGCTGGTCTATAGCTATTTCTCTCCTTTAGCTAAATCAAAAGGTTAATCGGCGATTGGGAGCGAACCAGGATCTTCAGTAGAACAGACTGATTGTTGTTATCCATTACACAACGCCGTCTACTGCACAGCCTTAGGAATTAAATAGCAGGGGTGTGCCGAAACGGATTTTAAAAAGCGAAACGCGAAAGGCGAAATTAAATTTAAAAAGTGAAACGCGAAATGCGAAACGCGAAAGTAAATTTAAAAAAGCGACACGCGAAACGCGAAAGTCCAAAAAACGCGAAAATCCGCGAAAGGCGAAACGCGAAACTCGCACACCCCTGTTAAATAGCTATATGCTTTACATAAATAATCTAAAAATAATTTAAATAAATCCCAGAGGTTTTATATTTTTAATAAAGTATATACATATTTATTTTAAACAATTTTACATTTCGACCCCATCATCACAAAAAATAATTGCTATAATATTAAAAATATTTAAATTAAAAAAATATTTTTTTTATTTACTATTTTTAAAAAATAAATACAAAAATTATCACGCGCAAATATATTTATTTTTTTTTATAAATTTATCGTCAATTGTCAACGAGTCCATGAATTACTTTTTATTTTTTTTTGTAGATTGGATTACTCTTTTTACTACTTTTTTTATTTTCTTTATTTTTTTTCTAGTTCCATAACAGCTGTAAACAACCGGATTTTTTATTTCATTTTACCCTTACATTTGTTGCATTTCTTTTATTTTTTATTTTATTTTTTTTGAAGATTCTTTTTTTTATTTAAAAAGAAAATTATTTTGTTATGATATTAATGGCATAAAATTTGTAAAACCTAAAAGAAAAATTCTATCATTGAATTTCCATGTTTTACATTAGGATCAAAGATAGTTAGGTACTTTAGAACAATAAAAAAATAGAAACGGAGGAATAAAAATTAAATTTTGATTTCATGGCCAATTAAAAAATTTTCGCCTCGGTGTTAAAAGTTTTTTTCAACTCCAATCCTTGTCCACGACTATTTGGACAATTCCGTCCCTACTCGTTTTACTTAGTCCCGATCCAATCATTTGAAAACATTAAAATTACATCTCCCTTTTTCTCTCCATAACTTTCCCTTTTACGTCGTCAAAATTCGCCTATTATAGAGGCTGTCCCAATAATTATCCTTTTATGTAAATTAAAGAAATTAAAAATTTTTCAAAAATACTAAAAGCTTTATAATTAATCTTCTAAATAATAATGTATCCTTTGTAAATTGCCGACCTTTTTAAAAACAAAAAAACTTTTAAATATTTTACAAGTCAACTTTTTCTATTCTAAATAGCCAATTCTTTAAATTCTGTATATTTTTTGTCCATAACTAAAAAGCAACAATTCCCCAAAGGTTTTTGTTTTTATTTTCTTTTGTTTTGTTCTCGTTTTATTTTAAAGCATTATTTAGGTGTAGATAAACATTTAATAATATTTTATATTTATTTATTAACGGAATAAAATAAAATTTTAATAACTTTAAAAATTAGAAAAATATTTTTTTAATAGTTTAAATATTCTTACTTTGTTCCACCCCACACAAACAAAAAAATATTTTTATACTTTGTTTGTGCATATAAAACTCTCTAAACACAAAATTCTCCCATTTTTCATGCCAACCCTCCCATTCTCTTTTCTTTATTTTTGCCAAATTTCATGCCTAGTGGTCATATACTGGACAATAGACAAACCTCCAAACTAAAAATGTTGTTATTAGGGGTTTGCTTCTTCCTTCCATTTCCTTTTTGCAACATCTATGGGCTTATTTCAATTTGATTTTTATCTTTAATATGGCAAGTCAGATATAAAAATAAAACAAAAACCAACTAAAATTTAATTCGAATTAAAATAAGTCCTTTAGTTTTTACCCGTTTCCAAGTAGTCTTCAAGTAGTTATTATTACTTAAAATTTATTATTACATATTTCTAAACTATTAAATTGAGTAAATATTTTTTGAGATCAGATTGGGTAATGATAATTAATTAAATAAATTAAATAATTTCCCTGTATCATTCTGAAGCTTAATTCATATATAGTTTGACAAAAAGTCAGTCAATGGTTTATAGCAACTTGGATAAATTGGATCAAGTCAGATATACAAAACCGAATCTAGTTATCCTTTTTAATATGAGATTCAAGAAAAAAATTTTTTTCGAAAAAAATTTAGTAATATTTATTTAATTTTAAATGAAAATATTTTTCTTAAATTTTTAAAATTTATTTTAAATTTTTTTTGTCATTAAAATTTATTTACCACCCATTTATTTATTTTTCTTTTTCCGTTCAAATATAAGAACAGATGTCTGGTGTTAAAGCTATTCTATAATTTAGCTTTAAATATAGAGAATTTGGCTGTATATTTCTGCGCATTTTATATATTTTTATTTACGCTTTTTGCAATTAAAAATGCATTTATTTCTAGGTCAGTGAGGACAAATAAACAGAAATAAATTATTTTAAGGAATTGAATGAATCTTTAATTTTAAATAATAATTAAGATAAAGAAAAATTTAATAAAAATTAGTCAAAAATATTAACTAAACTAATTAATCCAAATTTTTGATTTATTTGAAAAACAAAAAATAATAATTTTAATTGTACTATTTTTGTTATGTTTTAGTAAAGTACATAGTTTTGAACTAGATTTCCTAACTTACCTAAATAATTTTTAATTATTTTATAAATTTGTTTAAAATCAAAATTAATGTTGTCCCCTTACAAAGGAGGGGTGTCCGTGGGACTTCGGGATGAAATTTGATAGACAGATAGATCATACTCTACTTCTATTGAAAATTTAAGCATTTTCTCTGCGGGGTACCAGGGACCGAAACAAGGTTTTTGTTAGCCATTGTAGTTTAAATTATCATTTAAATATTATTAAAACCCAATTTTTTTACTTTGTTTCTTTTGACGATTTATCTCGATTTATACTAAGAATTAATTTTAAACAAAAACAAAGTTAGTAGTCTATTGCTGTTTTGGGCCCTATTATTAGAATAATTCTCCTGAATATTTTTGAGTAATCTCCTTCCTCTTTTCTTTTTTAATTTAACAAAAAATGCTTTATTTTAATTAATTTTAGATTTAATTAACATTCAATAAATGGCTTTTAATTTTTTATTTTCTTCCTGTACTTTTTGTCAAACCCCCCACCTTCTACTTGCTGCTTGTTTAATTGCTTCTGTAACAAAAGGTTTTCGATGGCATTTACATGCAAGAGTATTATTTCACTTAATTTCTGGTTTGATTCTTCTATTTTTGCCACAATTACTACATGGACCTATGGTAAATAAATACTAAATTGAGAAAAAAAGAAAAGAAAATTATTTAAAAATTTAACGTAAAATATAAAAAATTAAAAAATCTCTCTACTTAAACTAACCGATAGTTGTCGGATAGTTTGAAATCTACGGATATCCGGATACGACAACCTTACTAACCGATAATAACATGTAAATAACCTAAAGGCATATATGTGATTCCTGGTTTCTTTTTTCTATAAACCTCCAAAAAACTAGTCCAAAAAAGCTATTCATTTTACAGTATAATTAAATCACCACAAAAACTTGGGATTATTGAGGATAATTTGTAGGAATATTTTACAAAACTACCAGAAATTTCACGAGTTTATTAAGCATTGTGAGAAAGACTAGAAAGATTTTCCCTCATAACAGACACAAACTTATCTGAACGAGTTTGATAGGCCAAAGCTTACCCTATGTGAGAAGAGATATCAAAAAAATTTCTTTTTTACTTTGCAAACTTTCTGACAAATTTAAAAATAATTTTAAATAAATAAATAATTTAATTAAAAAAAAGATTGCTGGTGGCTCTTTTGATAATTTACATTTAACATTACAACGCTACACCGCTCCCTTTCATGTTAAATTTTATTTTAAAATTCTTTAATTTTTTGAAAAAAAATTTTTTTAGCTTGGTTTTGCACTCTTTCATTATAAAAATTCTTTTAATTCTCACAATGCTATAAGTGCTATAAATCCCGTTATTTTGGTAATTTTTGAATATTTTTGTTAAATTTAAATGAATAATAATTTATATTAATTAAAATAAATTAAAATCCCTCTTCTAAAATTATATTTAAATTATTAACAAAAATATTTTTAATTAATTAAAAAAATTTTTTTTAGTTCTCGAAAGTTTTAGTCGCTGCTTTTTTACTTATTAATAAATTCCTCACTGCCTATTTATTGTATGAACAAAAAGCTAGAGGGCAACGTGTCTCACAAAATGTAAATTAAATTTTTAAAAAATTAAAAAAAAACTAAAAATGCTTGAGTATAAATTTTCAAAAAAAAATTTTAAAAATTTCAGTTAATTTATTCCATAGTTACAAAAATTTATAGACAAAAATATTAAATAAAATTTAGGAGAGGAAATAAATATTTTTTTATGAAAAATCGGCTCTTGTCCAGATTACGCGTCCAATCAAACTTTGCGCGTCCAATGAAAAGTTTTTGCGTCTAAACAAATTTTTATGGGTCTGATCTATGCCGATAAATACCCTTGAGTTATGGTCGGACGCGCAATACTGAACCATATGTTCTAACATAAATTTGGGTACTTATTGCTATAGATGGACAACACAAGAATATGTTTGGATGTGTAAACATTTCATTGGACCTGCGTAAAAGTTGATTAGACGCATAATCTGGACAAGAGCCAAAAAATTATTAATTTTTAGTTTTTGTCTTGCTCTTTTCTCGTTGATGGGATTTGGCTTATTGTAGAATTTTATTTTTTAATTAATTCTTCAAAACGTTCAATTAGTGAAGAGATTGAGGTGTGTAAATAAATAAAATAAAATCAGAATTATTAATTAGATAATGTGTGCCCGTACTCGTTGTTGGATGGATTTTGGGTATCCAGGATTTGGCCCGCAAAGAGTATTTTTCTGGATTGATTCTACTATATTTTTCTTTTATTCATTTTTTCAATTTGCATTTTCTGGACTTTTATTGAATACAATTGTGAATTTTTAAAAGATATTTTTTAAAAAAATATTTAAAGATCCGCCGTGAAATATTAATTGCTGGATTACATGAAATGTATGCTAGAGAATTTGCTGTTTATTGTTTAGGGATTGCTATATGCTCTCTAGCTGCTCCAATTCAATTTGCCTTAACTCAACAAAAACAATATGCTGAACAACGAATTACGGTTGGAAAATAACTACCGGATTTATTCTAATAGAGCCACAGTCTCTAATATAACCACATCAAATTGAGAGGTTGAAAAATAGAACCACATGTGGTACTATTAGAATAAATCCGAAATATTTAATTTAATTTTAAAAATAAAATTGTATAGAGAAACAAAAGGTCTAAGAATTTTTAAGAAGCTTAAAATGTAGAATAAAATTTAAAGTAAAATGAAATTCTTCAAACTTAATTTACTTAACTAGAATAAATGGCTCATAAATAACTAATTTTAAAACAAAAAAATTAAATCAGAAATCAAAGAAGGGCCCTGTCGTCCTCGGATAGGCAAAAGCGTAAGTGAGCCTATCCTTGATAAAATTATATCAAATTTGAAAAAATTATTCTTGGCCTTAACCAAATTCCAGACCCAATTCTTCATATTTATTCTGAATATTTATACTCATTTTGGTCTCAACATTTATACACCAATACACATAATAACTTTAATTATTTCCTTCTTTCATTGTGCACTTCTTTTTATGATTTGGCAACGATGTTGTGGAGAAGAAGCATTAGAAATAAAAGAAAATAAAGGAGGAAATAAAGAAATAATAAATAATATAACTAATAATAATACAGCTGCAACTGTAACTTTACGTTCGGCAAAGAATTTTAAATGAAATTAATGATTAAATAAATGTAAAAACTCTCGAATGTTGTTTATAAATTAGTTTTAGGAAAGTTTTTGAAAAAAGGAGAGAGAGTGACCAGCCTACCGTACAAATAAAAAGGTTGCTTTGAACCGTCCGAAATCCGAAATGGCCATGACAATATATCCCAAAAGGACACGCCTAAATAGGCGCGAGGCCATAATGGCGCAAAGCCATAACTTGCTGGAAAATTTTCTGGCCCTAATCAATTTTGGTACCAATCTCTTTAGCTCGATGGAAAGAATTGTCTAATACTAAATTTGGCAAGATTCAGATATCGTGAAGCAAGTTATGTCTTTGTGCCGTATGGCCTCGCGCCTACTTGGGCTGTACCCTATCCCAAAAAAGAAAAGGCATAAAAAGGAGAGTTTGCATGGTGTAAAACATTTTCTTTCTTTTATTTTTTTCTTCGTTTATTTAATTTTGTTTTTTCAAAATTTCAAGCAATTGTTTTAGTTTTATTTTATGGATCGCAAAATGACGTTAACAAACGGAGCTTCTAGTGGAAATGCTGGTGTCAATCCTGGGGGTGGATTTGGTTTTGATGCTGCCAATTTGTCTGCTTCGGCAAATATGCAAATTCTGCTCCAAACAAATAATGATCTTATTTTGTCTATTTACAAGACGATTGTGGATTCGACGCAGGAAATTAATCGTAAAATTGTAAGGGTTTATTTTTATATTTTCAATTTTCGGATCAGATCCTTTAAGCTTTGGCTATTGTTTTAGATCTGGAGTTGTTATCCCTACATTTTGTGCTTGAGGCCGAGATTAATCTTTGGGGTCTGGATATCCGATAGTCGTCCAGAATGGCATCTAACTGCTATCATTTTCATAACTCCTATATTCGAATTACTAGACTAAAGCTCCTTTATTTTCCAGGAAGCTCTTCGTGATGATATTCGGGATATCAAATTGAATCAGCAACGCAATGACCGCACTCTTCAGGAGGAAGCAACTATGTGGCGTACTCACACTGAGCAATTACTTGCTGGACAGGGAAGCCGTCATCTTCAAGATGTTAGTCGACTTCAGGACATGCTTATGAAATTAGTGGTTGCTCAACCTCCTCAGCTTTCAACATCTACAGGCAGTTATGTTACGCAAGAAGGTTTCCTTTTATATTTTTTATTCGGACCTTAAGGTTCGCATATTTTATCTTTTATTACGTCGTTTTTGAGATTTCCGTTTCTGTGGGTGGTTTTCATTTTCTTGACTTTTATTTACCACTTTTCTAATAAAACTTTTCTAGCTGTTGGTGGAGGCTTTGCCACTTCTGCTACTGCTCCAGTTGTTACTGCTCCTGTCGTCAATGCACCTGCTGCTGCTCCTGTCGCCATTCCTTTGACAGCTGTCGCTACCATTCAGGCAACTACTACGGTGCCACTTGTTACTTCTATCGCTCCAATTATTACTACGGCACCGTCGATTATTGCTTCTACTACTCCATTGAGTACAACGTCTCCGTATACTATTCATTCGGCGCCCAGTTTTACTACAACAAAACCTACTTTTGTTACCTATACTCCGGCTATTACAACCACTACACCGACTGTTACTTCAACAATGTCGTCAACTACTACTAATACAACTTTTGGAGTTACTGGCACTGTACCTTTTGGTGGAAGTTTATTTGGCGGTGGAAATAATGCTGGAACCAATGTATTGAATTAATTATAGGCCTTTTAATTTTCTTATTTTTTTCGGATCCTGTCCTTGAAATCAAAATATCATACGGAGTTAGACTATAAGGTTGACAAAAAAGTTAGACTATAAGGTTGACAATCTTTTATAGAAGATTTACCAAATATTAATTTTCTTTTGTTAATAGACTTTTGCCAATCTTGCTGCTAAGGCTGCTCAATCAAAGCCTGGACAAGCTGGTGGTGGATTCTTAAGCGGTAATAATGGTGGGATTTCATCTGATGGATCGAAGCAGTCTCTTTTTGGCGCTTCGCCATTTAGTGTATCTAATACTACAGGATCTTCTGCAAAAGATTTTAAGGTTTTAAATTTTGATGTTTTCCTTGTTAAATTATTTTTTTAGTTTTTTACTCCTCATACAAAAACTGAAACTCGTGGTGATGGTGATGAATCTGATAAGGAGGATGAGACTGCTGAGGATTATACTCCTGATGTTCATTATGAGCCCGTTGTTCCTTTGCCACCCGAGGTTGAAGTTGTCAGTGGGGAGGAAGGCGAAGAGGTTTTAATTTGTTTTTTAGTAAAACAAATTTTACATTTTTCCCTTTTGAGGTTACTTTTGTTGCTCGCTGCAAGCTTTATCGTTATGATCGTCAATTAAAAGAGAACAAGGAACGTGGGCTTGGCGATATTAAGGTTTTTAACATATTACTAATGAATATCAAAAGACAAAGGAAATTTCTTTTAAAGATCCTCTTCAATCCAACTACCAAAAAGTACCGTTGTGTAATGCGCCGTGAGAAGGTTTTTAAGATCTGTGCAAACTTTCCTGTTGTTCATGATTTGTCTCTTCATAAACGTGAACAAATGCCAACTGTTTATACTTGGGCTTGCAAAGTTTTTTTTGTACTTTTCTTTAATTAATAATTTTAAAAATACAGGATTTTTCTGAGGATACTGTTGGTGGTTTGGATGAGACTTTTACTGCACGCTTTAAGGATGCTAGCATTGCTGAGGAATTTCATCAGGTTTGTTTAACTTTTTGTTTGGTTTTTATTTTTGAGTTTTTTGCGTGCAGCAAAAATTTTATTTTGATGACAATGAATTATTAAATTTATTCCAGTTTTTATTTTTTTATATTTAGAAGATGACCGAGGCTATTGATGCGATGCAATGAGGATATGTTGTCAACAACAAACTTAAAGGGAAGAGACGGAAATTAAGAACATTGTTTGGTTGTTATATTTTAATTATCTCATTGTCAGCCACTTTTATAAATTTCACAATCATTTAAAAGTATTTTTGAACCAAAATATGTTTTCAATTGACTTTGGATATATTCATTTTGTTATCGTATAAATAAATGTTCGTGGCTATTCTTGTAGTTGTTTTTCTTCATCTCGTTTTTCGATTTTAATTATTTTTGTTAATTCAACTTTTTTAATAATTTTAGGTAGAATTTTAAAATTCAATGACAGTTTATCATCTATTAATTATTAATCGTGCTGGTTCATTAATTTATGACTGGGAAAATCGCCGCTCTGTCGATCCACAAATAGCTCCTTTAAGTGCTAATGAGAAGATTATTTTGGCCAGTATTTTTCATTCACTCTATACAATAGCTTCTCAATTAAGTCCTGTGGCCAAGAGTAGTGGAGTTGAAGTTTTGGAAACAAGTCAATTCAGGTTTGGTGTTCTTTTTTATAAGGTTTTGGATGTCCCATAACAATTCCTTTAAAATTTTATTTTTGTTTTGTCTTTTCATTTAGAAATTCTAAAATTCTGCCCAATTAATTTTTAGTTTATCTCATTTTTATAGATTACAATGTTTTCAATCATTTACTGGCATTAAATTTGTTGTTATTTCTGCCTATACAAATACACAAAATGTTGAATCTTTATTGAGGAAAATTTATGAACTTTACGCGGATTATGCATTAAAGTTAGTTTTTTAATTGTTTAATTGATTGAATGTTTTTAACTGAATTTTGTTGGATTTTTTCCTTTAAATTTTATTTTTTGTCTGGAGGTACTTTGGTACCTCCAGACGGGATCACCCCAGAATATCGACACCCAAAATATCATCACCCTAAATATTGACACCCAAAATGACGAATGACCCAAAATATCGAATTTTTTAAATTTCATAATTATGTATTCCAGTGATCTGGAATGATGTTCCAACATCGAGGAATTGTTTTTTTCGATCGAACTGACCTTAGCATCCGTTCAGGAATCTCTTTGGTGATCGACTCTCTCTCTTTGATTGAACATATTGATCAAATTGATGTTTGTTCCATTGTTGGAACAATTCCCCTATGTTAAAGCATCATTCTCGATCACGGGAATACATAATTATGAAATTTAAAAATTTCGATATTTTGGGTAATTCGTCATTTTGGGTACGATATTTAGGGAACGATATTTTGGGTGTCGATATTCTGGGGTGGAGTCCTCCAGACACCAAAATATTACCAAAATATTACCTTTTTAAAATTAAAGATTTTGTCATTTTAGAAATCCTTTCTATTCAATTGACATGCCAATTAGAGCTGAAAAATTCGATGCTTCCATGAAAATCGTGATTGAGAGGTTTGAGAAATCTTTGCCATTATTGTGATCTCTAATAACCTTTCTCTTATTTGTTTATATTTTTAAATAAATAAATTATTTTTAATAAAAATTTATTTTTCAATTTATTTCAAAGTTTTATTATTCTTTAAATACTTTTCTTTAATTAAATATTTTTATTTTTTATTAAGATTGAATAAATTTAAACAAAAATTTATTTAGAATTTGGTTTGTGTCTTCAATGTATTTGAAGTATTATTTGGACGCACAAGGGAATCGAGTTTATACACTTAAGGTTTATTTAAATTTTTTAGTTTTTTGACTTGACTCGCGCCATCAAGTCTTAAATAAATAAATACTAATTCAATATAACGTTCTGGTATGTTATGATCCGGTGCCTTAACATCAATTTCAAAAATCCCAGATAACTTAAGCATTCATTTTTCTATTTTGTCCTTAATATTTTTTAGAATATTTTAGTTATTTAATATATGTATTAGTGTTTTTAAATTTATGAAACGTTTTTTATGACGTGTTTTATACCTACATTAATTTACAAAAAATTTTTACTTTCAGAAGCAAGATCCAATTAACGGTCACAACACCTTTTCTGCTCATCCAGCTCGCTTTTCACCTGATGACAAATTCTCAAAGTATCGCTTAATAATTAAGAAGCGCTTTGGATTGTTACCAACCCAGACAGAAGCGCCCAACTATTGAGATTTTGGAAATTGTTACTTTTATTGTTTGATAGATTTTGAAAGGTTTTTATTTAAAATAAAATTTCATTTATTTTTTTAAATTTTCAGTTAACTTTTATTTATTTTACAAAATTTAAATGTTTATCCGTCAATATTTTTACACTTATTATGAATTGCGGCGCCGATTTCGGAGTTGGAAACGACAACTTTTCTATCATCCAAATCAGACTTATGAGGATGTTGGTTTTGTTTTTTAATATTTTTTATTGTTGAGAGACGATTAAAAATGTTCGAAGAAATCTAAACTTAATTTGGATTAGAAAAATTTTAATTAGATCAATCGACTTTAAAATTTTTAAAAATTTTCTTTTTCATTTAGCTGGCCAAAAAGGGAGATTTTCTAAAATTTTGTACTCAATTACTTGTTTGGAATTTGGTTGCTATTTTAGCATTTAAACGATTCTTTAATAAGGTTTAAATTATTTTTAATAAATAAATAAATATTTTACTAAAAAATTAAGGAAATAACTTCCCTCAACGAAAAAGGAATAAAAACACCAAAACTTTCCGAACTTTGGAATGAAAGGAGTGGCCGTCCTAAAGTAAATGAGGATACCAGTAAATATTACTTCAAAAATCCACTTAATTATTTAATGGATTCTGCCATTTCAAAAAGGAAACACGTGGATTTAACAAAAGCAAAATTTCCACTTGATGATATTTGAGTTAAAAAAATTTTCTTCCCTTCTTGGCTTTGTTGTTGTTTCCCTCCTTTGTTAATTTAAAATAAAAAAATTATTTTTGATTTTTTTTAATTTAAATAATTTCTAAAAATTATATTTTTAATATATTTTTAAACATTGTTCACCACATACATATTTACTTGCTGATAATTTTAAAAATTTAGAAATAAGGGATATTCCTAGTTTTCAGTCAGCTGGTCTTTTACAATCTCTCCTAAATTTAAGTTTGATATTTGTTAAATAATTCTTTAAAATTTCTACCATTATGTCAACTGAATCAAACCCTTCAATTTCTGGCTCGTCAACAAGGGTTCCATTTTTTCGACGACAAAAACCTCAAACTTCTATTCGACAACGACAAATTGAGAAGGAGGATTTAAATAAAATTGATGAAGATAATTCTAATAAAGAAGAAAGTGATGATTCTTCTGCTTCAGGTGAATCAACTGGAGCTGAGAAAATTAGACTTAAAATAAGTGAAAAGAGGAAAATGCGAAATAATCGAATGCAAACGGTTTGTTTTTTTTTGAAAGTTTTAATTTTATATGGTGTTATCTTAAAATATATAGATTTTGAACCTATATCATAAGTAAGCTTGAAATATTTCAATGGAACCTATAAATTTTTTAAAATCTCTTCGCTCTTGATGTTAATAAAATATTTTAAAATTTTACTTATTTAGAGCATCAAAAAACGCCGAACAGAGGATTTGGATGAATCCAGTGGAACTGATTCTAATGAAGATTTGGTTAAATTTGATCATGATGTGAAGGTTGTTAACTTTAAAATTTGTTTAGGTTTTTTTTCATTTTCTTTTCGAGTAATACTTTTAAAAATTAAATCCGGAAATGGAATAATTTTTTAGATATTGTCTTTTAACTTTTCTTTCCCTTATTTCATTTTGATAGGCAGGTAAAAGGAATATCCCCCTCCGTATTGCAAAGAGAAACTAAACATTGTGACATGCATATTTTACCGACTTTTGGATAACTTACACAAAAGAACCTTTGTTTTATTTTAAAATAAATTTTTTAGTTTTCATCAAGTGGAGTAAATCGAACAGTTCCAAATGACATGGGTGCAACTGCTAGAACAGAAATAGATACAGATCATACTATGGATGCACAATCGCAATTTGAACGTGTTCAAAAAATATTGAAAAATAAACGATTGGAAATGGAAAAAAATTTGGCTATTGAAGAAGAAGAACGGAAGAAGTATGGAGAAAGGGCTAAAAGACCAAGCAGACTACAAGAAGCTGGAACTTCAAAGGTTACAAAATATTGTATTAAATGATTTTGATCTTCTTGTAATTTTTCAGGAACAACCAAAAATTTACCAAGGATTAGCACTTTATGGGGCAAAAGAAAAAGAGGACACCGTCAAAGGAAATGCCTCAAGTGGACTAAACAGAATGGGACCAATACGTGCAACACAATATATGAGGGCTAGTGTCCGTTGGGATTATGCTCCGGATATTTGCAAAGATTACAAAGAGACGGGATATTGCACTTTTGGAGGTTTACTTTTTATTTTTCACAGTCTTTGAGATGGGAGGATGGGGCGATGTTTTTATTTGATTTCCATCGACTCTCCCTTGTATTTTAGATAAAGTTCAAATTAAAGACCCCTTTGATTAAAATTAATGGATTTATTGTATTTCAAAATTTCTCTTCTATTTTTTTCTTTTTAGATTCTTGTAAATTTATGCACGACAGAACAGATTATAAACATGGATGGGAAATTGAAAGAGATTGGGAGGAAGGGAAATTAAAAGAATCAAAAGATGATGAATTTTTGGTTAGCAGTGAAGAAAGTGATACAGAACAGGATAAATTGCCTCATAGTTGTTATATTTGTAGAGAAAATTTTAAGCAGCCAGTTGTTACAAAGTAAAATTTTTTTAATTTTAAATTTAGGTAATTTTTAATTATTATTTAAAGATGTAAACATTATTTTTGTGAAGTTTGTGCACTCCAACATTATCAAAAATCTAAAAAATGTGCTATATGTGGTGAAAAGACTGATGGAGTTTTTAATGTGGCTAGAGGTTGTTTTTTAATTTAAATGGAGTTTTTAATAATTTGTGGCCCTTCCTTGAAAAGTTTTTCATTTTTACGTACTCTGAGGCTCGTCAGATTAAATCAACATATTTTTAGATATATTAGCAAAAATCAAAACTCGTAATGAAGCCAAATTAAAAGAGGAAATAGATGAAGATTCAAGCCCTGAACGAATGGAAGTTAAAACTTTAGAATTTGCAGAAGAAGGAGAATGTGAAGGAACAAATGATTAATTTAGTTAAAATAAATGCTGTATTTTTTAATTATTTTTTCCAATTTACAAAAATTTTTTTGACATATTAAGGATAATATACTTATAGAATATTTGAATTTCTATATAGCTAATTTTACTACATTTAAATTCTTATTCAGTTGTTTGTGGGGTTTAGGACGCAGATTTTTCTTTTAAAAAGGAAACCCGTAACACTTAACTAATTAATAAAAATTTTGTCTTTTTATTTGGGATTTTAACGTTTCCTTCCTAGGGAATTCCCTATCGTCTGTATAAGGATTTAAATAATTTATGTCCGTAGCCACCTAATTTTAAATTTTAAGAAATTTCAGGAACTTCAGGGGCTATTATTTGTCTAAATTCTTAATTTTAAGAGAAATATGCCGATTTTATCAAAACCATTATTTGGACTTGTAAGAAAAGGTGGACATGTTATTTGGAAAGAAGAAAGCGCTATTAGATTCCCAGCACTTAAAAAATTACCTCCATCCTTTGGAGGACCTATGATTTTCCTTTTTCTTGGTATAATGCCAACACTTCTTTATTTTAAAGCACAAAAGGATTATAATCCTCTTTCCTGGTATGCAAGTATGTTTAATTTTTTGAAATAATTTTTGTTAGAAAAAATGTAGGAAAATATAGCTGTTTACTATGTTATAAAAAACTATTCTTTGAATAAATCCCTCAATAATTTTTATTTTTTTAGAAGTTTGGAAATATGTTGAATTGAAGTTTGATGGTTTATTCCCGTCTAGTTCAACTTTTGACAAGTTGGTTTTTAATTTTTATAAAGGGGAGGCAGAAGGAAATGTTAGGGGGTGGTAGTCCTTATATTATAAAATAATGCCCCTTAAAGAGTAAGAAAAATAATAATGATCTTTCACTAGAAGAGACGTTTTTAGTAAAAAAAAAAGGGGGGGTGGATTATTATTATTAATTAATTTTTTAAAGATCTTTAACGCCGGAAGAGGAACAAGAATTACGTCGAAAACAAGATGCAACTCCCCCAATCTTTAAGAAGAGTGAGAAAGAAATGGATAGATTATTTAAAAAACTTGGATTTAATCTTTAATGGAAAAATTGTTTTTTAGGTTTTAAATTAATTTTTAATTTTGTCCGAAAATTAATTGGTTGAATGTTTTTTGCTGATTAAATGTCTAATAAAGAAATTAAGGTTTACCTACACGAGTATCTTTTTTATTTAATTTTAACGAGTGTTTACTACTTAAAGGGTTATTTGATTTTTCAATCACCTCTCTAGTAAAATCAACTATGTATAGACCAAATTTTTAAAAAATTTACCTAAAATCATTTTAAAATAATAGTTGTGTCAATTTATAAAATCAAAACATTTTTCTTTTCTCTTTTCCTTCAAGCAATAGCATTAACAGCGCGCAATTCAGCTTCCAACTTTCCAGATTTAGCCGCAGCTGCCGTGTCATCTCCGCCGCCAAAAAATTTCCCGCCAATGAAAACGCGTGGAACAGAACTTGAAAAAGAATTTTTATTTTCTACCCCTCCCCCCCCCCCCTTCCCTTTTTTAATTACCGTTGTCCAGTAATTTCTTTAAGATAATCCTGAATTTTATCGCAATCTCCTAAAAAATTAATTAAACAAAAATACAATTTATTTAAAACCTCTATCTTCAATTTCGACAACTTCCATTGTGCCAGGTACAAGACTAAAAGTAGTTAATGCTTCCTTTGCTTTTGTACTAGAAAATGTTTAAAATAATTTTATTATGAGTTGATGTTTAGGAAGTTTGTTACTTTTCGATTATTTCTCCCAACATTTTTCCTCTTAAATTACAAATCCATCTTAAATTAATTAAAAAGAAAAGGTAACTGTTTGGGTGAGGGCTAACTCGAAGAATTCCAACTCACGGAGAATTCCAACTCACGGAACAGACAGGTCACGGAACGGACAAGTCACGGAATTACCAAAACACGGTATATTTTTAGAAATCATAGATTTTCAGAATTTTTTAAAAATATTTTTAAAAAAGTCTTATTTTTTAAAAATATTCGATTTTTCAAAATATTTCTATTTTTAAATTATTCCGTGATTTGGTAATTCCGTGACTTGTCCGTTCCGTGAGTTAGCCCGACACGAAAGGTTTAGGGAAAGAATAACCAAAAATTACTTTTTTTTGTAACAATTAATCATTACAAAAAAGTCAATTCCTTACCCATAACCCCCCACTAATTTATTTATAAAAAATACCAATATGGGCAATAAGACTTTGAGAAAACAACAACTTTGTTTGTCTAAAAAATAATTTTAATTAAAATTTTAAAAATTAAAAAAACCTTAATAAGACTGTCTACAAAACTTTTTGGAGTAACGTCGGCCATTATACTTCGAGTAAAATAATTTAATAAATACTTCAGATTGTTTTTAGTTCTAAAATTGAGAAATTCAGCTGGGCAAATATTTAGATTGGAAGAAAAATTTTAGATGATATTCGAAGGAAAAATAATGAAGAAATGAAAAGGGGGTACAGCCCAACTAGTCGCGGGCCAACTAGTCGCGACCGATTAGTCGCGGCCGACTAGTCGCCGGCCGATTAGTCGCCAAGCTTTTTAATTAAATATTTTGTAAATATGTACAACTGATTAAGCTTTTTAAAATGTTAATGTCCCATAACGGATTCAGTTATGTGATAAAAGGATAAAGGAAGTGTCCTCGCCATGAATCTCGCCAAGGGAATAGGCCAAATATATACCCCTAAGGATGGACTTTTTAGCAGAAATAGAGGGAATTTGGCCTATGTTCCTTCAAAAAATTCTAAAATTTTGCCTGCGGCGTTGAAAGAAGGAGGAATTTAGGCTCAAGGATCATCTAACAATAAGTTTAAAAATTTTCGCCCGCGGCGCTGAAATGATAAATTATTATTGTTTTCTAAAAATTGTTCCGAAATTTATTTTTACCGGAATAAAACCGGACCGGATTGATCCTGAAAATCCGGCAGGATCTGGTCCGGCATGAGTTTCGAATTCAAAATCCGATTTCCGGGCCCGGAAAAATAATTTTGCCGGTCACAAATATGAATATTTAATTTAAAAGCTTGGCGACTAATCGGCCGGCGACTAGTTGGCCGCGCGACTAATCGGCCGGCGACTAATCGGTCGCGACTAGTTGGCCCGCGACTAGTCGGGCGTGTCCCATGAAAAGGATATGATGTTTTTCCGGGACACGCCCAAATAGGCGCGAGGCCATAAAGGCGCAAAGCCATAACTTGAGGGAAAATCTCTGGCCCTTATCAATTTTGGTACCAAAGTCTTTAGCTCGATGGGAGGAATCGTTTTATGCTAAATTTGATAAGATTCGAAAATCTTGAAGCAAGTTATGGCTTTGCGCTGTTATGGCCGCGCGCCTAGCTGACCCTGTTTTGTTGTGGCGTTTTATCGTTATTCTTGGCATTTGGCGTGTTTTAAAAATTTGAAAAGTTTGCGTTTAGTGCAAGTGTACTAAGGGTTTTGCCGCACATTCCTATACGACTAAAAAGGGGAGGTTTTAAAAAAGTGGAACAAAACTTGGAAATTAATTTTTAAAAAATACAAATTATTTGAAATTTTTGTTGTTAACGTTAATAAATATTTAAGTAAATACTGTTTTAAATAATTGTTTTATTAGTAAGGGTTAATTTAATAAAGGTTAATTTTTAATAGAATATATTTTTAAATAAAATTTACAAGGAAAAAACCTGTTTACTATAATTTTTATTAAACTACCTATTTTTAAATACTTAAATAAATGTGATTAGAAAATTGGTTTTTGATATATATTAATCTTGTTTTTTATAAACATTTATTTGTATGACGTGATTTTTTTATTTTGATTAATGGAAAAGTTTTTAATAAATTGGAAATTAAAAAAATAATAATTTTAAAAATATTATTTTAATTGTCGTATAAATTTAAGTATTTTTATCAAAAAATTATTTTAAGAGAATAATTTTTAAAAATAAGGAGGAAACATTTTGTTTGTTGCGAAGGTTGTTTTTGTGAGAAACAAATAAAATAATTTACGATTATTCTTTGTAGGTTGTAGTATGTATTATTAAATTATTTTTCTAAACTTTACTTTTGTATGACTAATCTTTAAGGGAAAGTCTACGATTTTTTTTATTTAATTAGAAATGCAAGGATGATTCACCTAGCAGCATTTAAAACGCTTAGGCGGGGGTTAAACGATCTAAAAGGATAAAAGAGACATGAGTTGATGCCCTGGTAGCTCAGTGGTAGAGCTCCTGTATATTTTGAGCGAAAGCGCCTAGCAATAACGGCGCCTAGCAAAAGTTTAGCTCGGTGGCTAAACTTTTGCAAACTTTTTCTGAAATAAATGTAAATTAAGAATCATCTCAGTCGAAAACTTTTTTTTGATTTTTGGGTAGGCAAAGAAGTAAAAAACCCGTCCATTTTCTGGATAGCAGAATAATCCTCAGTTATTTCTGTTTATATTTAAAGATTTATTTGGTTTTCCGTTCGGTTCTTAAGAAAACGGAGAGTCTTAGTAAATAATAGAATGAGTTAGGTAGTTAAATAAAATAATTTTTTGTTGCTAGGGTTTTTTGTGGGAAATAAAATAATTAATTCTAAGAAATTCTCTTTTTTTTTAATTTATGAAAAATATTTAATTAAATTACGTAGAAATAAAATAATTTTTTCCCTTTATTTCGTTCCACTAAAATAATTAAATATTTTTATTTTTTTAATTTTTTTAATAAAAGTACTTGAAAATACATATAAAAATAATGAGTAAGCTAAAAGGAAACTTAGTCATCCAAGAACAAATTTCAGGTCCAATATACATATTTTCTTTGTTTTTATGAAAAAAGGAAAAAAAAGTTTACGAAAATTTGTTTTCGACAATATATTTTGTATTTAATCTTTTAATTTTGTAAGGCAAAAATATTTAACAAAACAAAATTGTTTGTTTATCAAATTTAAAATAATTATTTTAAAATATTTTTTCCTCATTTCTTTTTATTTTTTTCACTTTTTCATTTAATTTCAAAACTTTTTCAGAATCAATTTCATTCCCCCAATAACCCCCTCTTTTAAAATAAGAACCAACAATAAACCCATCAGCATTTTTAAATTTATTAATATTATTTTCGTCAATTCCAGAGCCAATAAAAATTGGTAAAGATGGACATTCTTTGTTGACATCTAAAGAAATATTTTGGAATTACACAAAAAAATTTTTTATTTAAAAAATTTTGTGGTTGAAAGGAACTAGGGGACCTATTTCTACATACATGCCCCTTATTCTCAAGAGAATTTATTTTAAACCTTCCAAATCTAAAATGGAAGCTTCTTGCCCAGTCGAATTTCCCGTTAAAATAATTCCATCAGCTAGGAAAAATTCAGCAGCCTTAGCAGTCTGTGCAATATTAATATCTTTTGTTATTGAATGAGAACTTTAATTTAAAAAATAATAATTTTTTAAATTAATAGCAACCAATGTTTTTTCTTAATATCAACAATAATTCCAATATCCTCTGCCCCAATCATTTTTCTATATCTAAGTAAATTCCCTGCACATCCATCCATCCAACCCTCATCGGCTAAATGTCCAAAGACGAATGATTCGGCTCGAATAAAATTAAATCCTAATTTTAAATTTATTAAGAGAAAAAAAGATTATAAGAAAGGATTAATTCTGAATGGTTAATCTGTAAGTAAAAAGTCCGTATCAAAGGGCCGCTCTATTAGAGACGGCCGTTCAAATGGAGGCGGCCACTCTATTAGAGGAAATACGGTAAGCTAAAAAGAAACTTCGCCGTCGTCTTTACACACTTTTAAACAGACTAGGACACGGATACTGATTTTGGTATCCGTATCCGGATATTTACGGCAGATACAAGCGGATATCCGCAGGCATTTTTACAATATCTGTATCTGTATCCATGTCCTAGTCTGCTTTTAAATTATCTCTTTTTTCAAAAAAATAGAGAGGAGGAGCTTATCGCTTTATTTATTTATTTAACACTTACCCGAAGCATGTGCCACAGCTATAGCTGTTTTATTAGCCCCAGCCAAAACTTGAATTCCCAACAAAAAATTATTTCTTTTATTCCCCAAAACATTTAAACATTCTAAACAAGCTTTAGTCATCCAAGAACAAATTTCAGGCCCAATATTTTCATCCAATTTTTGATAAGGCAAATCATGCATATTTTCAATAATTATTCCATCCTTTTAAATAATTATTTTTTGTTATTTAAATTAATTTTAATTTAAATACCACTTCACTTTTTAAATAAATTTCTGTTTCTTTTTGGACTTTTTCAACAATTTGCTCAACAGGCATAACATGTTTTGGTGTTCTTAATTGATAATTAAATTTAGGAGGTATAATTTAATGGATGGGCTCTTTTCCTTATAAACAAGATTTAATTATTTTCTTTTTTTTGTCGGCAAATCAAAGCCTTTAATTTAATTAAGCAAATTAATCGTGCGAAATTTAAAGGGATAAATTTATTTTACATAGTTCGCAGTCCTTTGGTAATAACAATCAAAAAGAATCGGGGGGGGGGGGGGGGGCGAGCTAAATATGTATTCACAATGAAGACCAATCTAATTTTAATATCATCTACTAATTCTCAAGGCATAATTCAAATAAAAAATAAATTTAAGATAAAAACCCAGGCAAAGCAGGTAAATGAATCATTCCAATAAGCAATGGATGTGCCTTTGTTGAGATTATTTTATTTAAAGTTTTATTAATTTGTCCAGACATACTTAATAAATTTATATATCAGCGGACTATATTTTCAGGCAAAATAAAAGATTAAATGCTCCTTTGAGTTTCACAGTTGGATCGAATTCTGTGACATTCTCTCTATACAAAAAATTATTCTTATTGATATACATATAATTTTTGTGAAAAATATAGGAATTGTTGTTTTTCTTTTATTTACACAAATGTCTTTAATAAATAGATAAGAAAATAAAAGGAATTTTATTCATTTTTGATGAAAGATTAATAATATTTTATCTTCCCTTTATCCTTTTCCAAAGAAATAACTGTTAGTAGAAAATTAAAAACAAAAACTTTACTTCCAATAAACATTCAAAAAAACAATTTAATATTTAAAATTAAAAAGAAGTCATTCCATTCTCTCAAAACTATTAAAAATAACTGGGAAACAATTTCTATGGAGTAATTCGTTTAGGGTCACGTGGAAATAATGAAGCAAGTCGAATATTGCCTAAACCAAGGAAAAGCATTGTTACACGTTCCAAACCTTTTTTTAAATTAAAAAAATTTCTTTTAATTTTTATTTTATTTACCAATTCCACCACCAGCATGTGGAGGACATCCATATTTAAATGCATCGATATAAGCACGAATCTTTTCCAAATCAATATTATGTATTTTTGCACGTTCAGTGAGTAATATTGGATCATGGACACGTTGGGCACCAGAAAGAATTTCTTCTCCTAAAAAAAGTAGCAGAAAATTATATAAATAAAAAAATGAAGTAAAAATAAAATTAATTAAACAATGAATACAAATAATCAAAACAAAAAATTCTTCATTAAAAATTTGCCTCTCATAAACATATCATAACTATTTGAATAACGTTCATCCAAAGGATCAGGCATTGTATAAAATGGTCTAACAGCAAGTGGGAATTTGTCAAGAACATAAAAGTCAGTGGAATAACGTTCACGAACTAAACGGCCGAGAAGTTTTTCGTTTGGAGTACTCAAATCCTTTAAAAAATTAAAATTAAAAAAAATTGTGAATATCTGTTCTTGAATAGATGAAAACCCCCGACGATTTTCATGTTTTATCATTAATTCCCAACGGGGCTGTGCGCCAAAATTTTCACGTGGCGCGCCAAACGATATTTTTCCAAATTTTATTGCCCATTATTTTTCACAGAATATTAGGTGGGGACATAATTAGTGACACATTTTTTCAATCGCGGATAAAAATATTAATTTCTTAAATTTTTCTCTTAATTTAATATATCATTTTAAAGCTTAAAAAGTCCGCTTTCGTTTCATATATAACACAAAGTTCGAACGCAAAACGAACGCAACGCTAAGTTCTACGCAAAGTTCAAAATTTTGAGTTTTTGGGGGTATCTCTACTCGTTTTTTCCATTAATTGACATTAGAGTTTTATGTAAATTTAATTCATAATTTAAAAATTTTTAAAATTTTGTTACTACTATCTTGTGTAACTCAGAAAGGGCTTTCGAATGGTATATTACAAGTCATATCAAATTCAAAAATTTTTCAAGAAAATTCGAAATTTGTAAAATATGCCTGAATCGACTTTTTTGACTATAACTTTTGAAATACCTAACCAAAAAATCTCAAATTTAATAATTTGATGGACAAACCCATGATGAACATATATGAAAAATTTCAAATGGATTGGTTTATTTTTGTTTATATTATAGAATTTTCCGCAAAAGCTTGTGAATTTCAGTTTGGGTTAGAGACATTCTTTAATTTATAAAATTTGAAATTTAATTAGAAGTCTTTCAAGTTATATGTGAAATGAAAGCGGACTTTTTAAGCTTTAAAATGGTATATAAATTAAGAGAAAAATATTAGAGTTTAATATTTTTATCCGCGATTGAAAAAATGTGTCACTAATTATGTCCCCACCTAATAGCAGGGGGTTGAGAGGAGGGCACCTGAAGTCCTACCTTGGTTACGCCCTTCAAAAGATACCTCATCAAGACAAATCCAATATAAAGATCAACCCAATTTTAATTAAAAAAATAACCTCTTCATCTCCTTGTTCAACACCAGCCTCTCTAAGCATTGAAACAGCTTGTGAATATCTAAAAAAATAATTTAAAAAAATTTAATTAAATAAATTACTGAATTATTAAAGGTTTTTCAGTAAAAATAAACGGCTCGCTTGGATATTGTTTACGAACAGCTTCAATTTCTGGTTGGAAATTTTTTTGAAGGTGTGCAAATATTTCACACATTAATTCTGCAACTGTAAGCATTGCCTTAAAATTTTTTCTAAAATTAAACCCCGATATAAAAATTTAAAAAAATTTTGTGGGTAAATTAAATTTTTTCATAAAATTTTCCATGTCTTGTTGCATATCTAGTGCATATTTGGGTAAATTTTACAAAATTAATGCATATTTGAAGCTTTTTCGGCATAAACACGCATATTTTGGAATTTTCCGTGCTTATTTTAACTCTCCCTATTTAAAGGATTTCAAAAAATTCAAAAACATAATTCAAAGTAACCTCATGATAATGAAATTTAAAAGCCATTTCCAAATCTAAACCAACAAATTCAGTCATATGTCTGTGTGTATTGCTATCTTCAGCTCTAAAAACAGCCCCAATTGTATAAACTTTATCAAAATCTGCGGCAATAGCCATTTGTTTGTAAAGTTGAGGTGATTGGGCTAAATAAGCAGAGCCTTTAAAGTAGCTAACCTTAAAAAGGAGAGAAAGAATCCGTAACAAGAATAATTTAAAAAAACCTCAAAAACATTAGCTCCTCCCTCACTAGCTGCTGAAATTATTTTTGGAGTGTGTATTTCAATAAATCCTCTTTTGTTAAGATTAGAACGAAATGCTTCACAAATAGCAGCTTGAAGTTTAAATATAGCCTGACTAGTTGGTGTACGTAAATCAAGAACTCTAAAAAAGTTGAGGAAAGAATTATTTTAAAATTAAAAAATAACGAGGATAGCAGAAAATATTTTGTGAATTTTATAAAGAAATTAATCTCATTTATTTAATACCTAAAAAGTAGCACTCTTGCCGTTTAAGGGGCCGCAGTTCTCTAACCATTATGAGCAGGCCCGTAGCCAGGATTTTTTTTCGGGGGGGCCAAGGGGGGAAAATTTTTTCTGCGCCAAATTTTTGGCGCCGAAGGCGCCAAAAATTTTTATTTTCAGCGCCGCAGGCGAAAATTTTGAGAATTTTAGAAGGCCGTAGGCCAAAAAAATTCACTTTTTCGGCGCCGCAGGCGCCAAAAATTTGATTTTCAGCGCCGCAGGCGAAAATTTTTTATATTTTGGACCTCAAGAAGCCAGATTTCTTCCTTTTTTAGCGCCGCAGGCGAAAATTTTTGAAATTTCAGAGGCCGTAGGCCAAAAAATTCACTTTTTTTGCCCCAGCCCTTCCCCAATTTTTTCCCTTTTTCCCATTTCGGGGGAGGGGGGAATTCCCCCCCCCCTACCCCCCCCCCCCCTGGCTACGGGCCTGATTATGAGACCAGTGTTCTCTTTCCTATCAATCAAAATTTATCCTTTTTTACTCCTTAACTAACATTTATTTTCCCCAAATATAATGTGGGTAATTGAAATTTGGTGCCAAAATTATAGTTAAAGAAAGGCGGCCCCCTTAAACTGCAGGAGTGCCCTTTTACAAAAGACAAACCTATTATCCAATCTAGTGTCCAATTTAACAACAGCCAAACCCCCAGTTTCTTCTCCAATATCAGGTCTAGTAGCATCTTCCATTTGTAAAGGCATTCTTGGCTCAGAAGCAGAAACAATAAATAATTTTTGAATTTTAATTTCAACATCACTTTGAGTACAACTTGAGACTGGTGAAGGCGTTTTTGTAATTTGACCAAAAACGTCAACTAATGATTCCTGCAAAATAAATTTTATATTAAAAATAAACGAGGAAGACCAGTCAGAAATTTAAATTTTATACCAAAGTTAATAAGAAAATCAGAAAGGTTAGGAATAATTAGGGCTACTAAAGGCATATCCAGAGGTCGAATTAAGGGGGGACTAACAAGGGGCGTGCGCAAAAATTTTGATGTTTACCTCGCGTTCCGAACGCAAATTTTTTTGAACCATATTTTTATTTTTTTCAAATTCTTTGAATTTTGAAGGTTGTAGGCGAAAATATATCTCACTTTTTCGACCACACTTCTTCCACATTTTCCCCAATTTCTAGCCCCCCTAGATACATACGCCCTGAGGGATACTTTAAAAATTAAATTAAAAACTAGCCCATAATAACAGTTTCCATTTACTTTTTTTATAAAATTTTTGTGTTTAAATATTTTTAAAAATATTAATTAATATTAAAAAAATACTTTCGAAATATTTTGAGCAAATTTAACAAATTCTTTAGTAATTTCTCCCCCAACAAATAAAACCCCTTGAACACTATAAATACGTTGACGTAAACAAATAAAACAATTTTTGCCTTTTCCTCTACTATCGTGAATACGGGCTCTGAGCCAAATCTTTAAAAAAAGAAATTTTTAAAATTAAATTTTAATAATTAAAAAAAAATAATCAGAAAAAAATTTCCTCAAAAAATTTAAAGAAAAATTCCAAAAAAACCTCTTCTCCATCCAATTCAGCCCCAATATCTTGTATATCAATAAATTTAATATCTTCGTGTTTTTCTTTTGATTGCATAATTGGATAAGTACCAAAAGAAAGATTTTGTTGAGTTGAAGAAGACATTTTTAAATTCTAAAAAAATAAAATTAAAAGAAAAAATTGCAATATTGCATCAATAAATAAAATAAAAAAGAAATAAAATAATTCCCAAAATTTACTGGGACACGTCCAAGTAGACGCGCGGCCATAAGGTCGCCGAGCCATAACTTGCTAAAAAAAATTCTGGCCCTTATCAATTTGTATCAATCTCCTTAGCTCGATGAGAGGAATCGTTTAATACTAAATTTGGTAAGATGCGGAAATCTTGAAACAAGTTATAGCTTGGCGACCTTATGGCCGCGCGACTATTCGGGCGTGTCCCCCCCAAAACAACGCACGGCCATAACGGCGCAAGCCATAACTTCCTTCAAAATTTCCAAATCTTAACAAATTTAGTATTAAACGATTCCTTTCATCAAGCTAAAGAGATTGATATCAAAATTGATAAGCGCCAGAAAATTTGCCGGCTAGTTATGGCTCTGCGTTGTTATGGCCGTGCGTTGTTTTAGGTTGTACACTTATTTAATCTTTTTCTTTCTTCTCTCTGTTCATCTTGTTCTTTTTTTCTTCTTTTTCTTTTTCTGAGTACAAAGAGAACATTAGAGTCTTGAATTTTTAATTAAATTTCTTTTTTTTATTCCACCCTTTTATTTACTTAACAATAATTTTTTATTAATAATTTTTAAAATTTTCTAGAGCAAAATCTGATAAAAAATAATTATTTAAAATGTTTAAAAAATTTGATTCAACAGAAGATGTTATTGGAAGTCAACAACTTAAAGGATCTGTTCAGGTATAATTTTTGAAAAAAATATTTTTTTTTATTTTTTTTAAAGAAATCAATTCGTGCCAAATTAATTGAACAATTTCCTCTTATTGAAGAATTTATTGAACAAATTTTGCCAAAAAAGGAAAATTTTAAATTGTTAAAATGTAAAGACCATTTGGAATTAATTGCTGACGTTAATGGGGAAATTCAGTTTGTTAAGGTTTTTTTATTTTTTAAATTCTGGTTGGGGTCCCCAAATAATTCTGACATATTTTCAGCATTTTCTATATAACTGCGAGTATATACATTCGACATGGCTTGCCAGTCTTAGTTGCCTGTCGGGCTAACTCACGGAAAATGGAAAAGGCACGGAACGACAAGTCACGGAATTACCAAAACACGGAATAATTTAAAAACAGGAATTTTTTGAAAAATCTAAATATTTTTAAAAAACTATTTTAAAAAATTCTAAAAATTCTGATTTCTAAAAATATTCCGTGACTTGTCGTTCCGCGAACTGTCTGTTCCGTGAGTTGGAATTTCTCGAGTTAGCTCCAGGGTTGCGTCGTAATTATGAACTACGATTACGAAAAAAATTTTCAATTACGACGCAACTCTGATTAGCCCCCACCTCTTATTGTTAGTTGAATAATTATAAAAATTAAGCTTTGATTAGAATTTTTAGTTTTGAAAAATATTAAAAATTTTATTTTTTTTGAAGCATCGAGATTTACCTCAATACTTTCCAACTCTCAAATTACTTCACAAATATCCTTTTCTTCTTAAACACCAAAAGGTTTTTTTAACTTAAATATAGAAAAATAAATACCGATTTATTCTAATAGAATGGCCGCCCTTCTATTTTTCATTACCCCCAAAAAGGGGCCATTCTAATGGAGAGGTCATTCTATTAGAATAAAATGGTATTTTCTCATTTGGCAGAAATTTTCTATTTTATTTTTTTGGATAAAAATATATAAATTAGTTAATCATTTATCAAAAAAATATTTTTTTCTGATTTATTTAAAATTTGTTTAAAAATATTTTTAGGTAGATAAAGGAGCTATTCGTTTTGTATTAAATGGTTCTAATATAATGTGTCCAGGCTTAACTTCTCCAGGTGCTCAATTAAATGATTTATGTAAAGAAGGAGAATTAGTTGCTATAATGGGGGAAGGAAAAGAAAATGCTATGGCTATTGGGCAAATGAAGGTTGGGGGGGGGGGGGGGGGGGGTTTTGTTTAAATTTAATTAAAATTATTTAAATTATTTAAATTAATCATTTTTTGAATATTTAAAAAATGATTTTTAATAGGGTTGTTGGCGGACGGTTAACCGAACCGGAACCGTTAACCGGTGTTTTTAGCGAATTAACCGGAACCGAAAACCGGGGGTCGAAAACCGGCGATAACCGAAAACCGGTGACCAAAACCGCCCGGTTTCGGTTTTAAAAATACACCCCTAACGATGGAAATTTTTGGGAATTCTTAGGAAATTCGAATGACTAAAATACATTAACAAAATATTTTTATTATTAAAAAAGTCAAAATATTTTTTGTTTCCTTGTGTAGATGCGTGGTTAAGTGGGTAAGCTGGCGGGCGACAATGTTCATAGGATTGGGTTCGATCTTATTTTGTGTAGGAATTTTATTGCAGACAACACCTCTCCTAGACAACACCTCTTAATACTAGAGTTCGAACTTTTCAAAATGCCGGGCCCGGGACCCGGTTTTTTTTACTCAAAATCGCACCCGGACCGGTTTTTCCGGGTAAAACCGGAAAAACCGGTTAGCCCGGAAAAACCGGATTTTTTCAGACCCGGGCCCGGTTTTTTCTAAATTTATTAAAAACATAAAAAAATTATCACACATACAAAGGATCGGAAAACATACAAAGGATCGGAAAACATACAAAGGATCGATTAAAGGATAGATGAATCAAAGGATAGATGCGCTTAAGGATAGATAGCAGGAGTGTCCGCAAGTGAAAAAAATTTTCCGCAGCCGCAATCCACAATTTTATTTTTAAAATCAGCAGCCGCAATCCGCAACTCGCAATTTTTATTTTAAAACACGCAGACGCAATCCGCAGTACGCAAGTCAAAAAAAACACACATATACGCAATCCGCAATTTTTGAAATAATTGGTAGTCTGGGAAAATGAGGGGATTTGAAGTATTTAGGAAGCTTCCATGTGATATCAGATTTCGAGTGATATAGAAGATTATGAATTTGAAGGGATTCATAGAGAACTCATGAGATTTGTAAGAATATTAAGGGATATCAGAGAATTAAGCCCTCGATATACTTCTTAATCCCATTAATTTTTCTTCCCTTTTTAAAAATTTTGAGAATTTTGGAAGGCAAGGGGCTAGATTTCTTCCTTTTCTACCGCCGGAGGTGAAAATTTTGAGAATTTTGGAACTCCAAGGGGCCAGATTTCTTCTTTTTTACCGCCGGAGGCGAAAATTTTGAAAAATTGGATGGCCAAACAGCTATATTTCTTACATTTTTTGACTTCATCAAAAAGACTCCGGGCCCGGCAAAAAATTACCGGGCCCGGGACCCGGTTTTCTTACACAAAATCGCACCCGGGCCGGTTTTTCCGGTTAAAACCGGAAAAACCGGTTAGCCCGGAAAAACCGGATTTTCTCAAAAATACCGGTCCGGGCCCGGCCCGGGTTCGAACTCTACTTAATACTATCATTCATCCCAACGCCTTGATAACTTCTCATCTCCCAAATCCCCGATGAAGTGTATAGAATATTTATTTAAAGGCGTTGGAATGTTACAACATCTTAATGGGATATTCTGGATGAAAATTTGTCCAAAAACCGGTCCCGGTTAACCAAAAACCGGGGGTAAATCAAAAACCGGAACCGAAAACCGGGGGTCGAAAACCGGCGATAACCGAAAACCGAGGGTACCGGTTAATAACCGGTCGCCAACAACCCTAATTTAAGTGTAAATAGAAATGTAAATAATTTTTTCTGATATAACAGTACAGTCAAGTTCAATTTGTACGTCGCTTCGTGCAGGAAACTAGGGTTGAACAAAACCGGTTAATTTTTCCCTAGGGCTGGCCTTTTTTCTCTCTTCCTTTCTCTTCTCTTTTTGCCCCGCCACAGGAAAAAATTAACCGGGCGTTTAACCGGTTTTTTCCAACCCTACATGAAACCCCACCCGAATCCTGCAACAGATATTCGAACAATTAATTAAAAATTTAATTTTAAATAATTGTTCGGTTCAGGAATTAATTTTAAGTATAATTTTAAGTAAAAATTATTCCCTTTTAATAAAAAATATTTAAAGATTTCCCCATTAACAATTCGAGAGAAGAATACAGGGATTGCAATTGATAATGTTCATTATTTAAATGATGGACTTTGGAGGATTGGACGTACAACAAATTAAATATATATTTTTTAAATTTGTTTTGTTAATTTTTTTGTGAATTTTTAATATAAAAAGTTATTCATTTATTCTAAAATAGACATTAATTGACAAAGTAAGTATTTAATTTTGGTCTCAAACAAGAGACTGGTTATCTCTATTTAATTATTCGACCAGCTATACTGGTAACTATGTCCAGAATTTCCATTTGGATTATAACCGCTTGAACAAGTTGAACATCCACAGCAACTACTCTGTCCATTATTAGCAGCATTTCCCCAACGATATTCATAACTCCAACGTTTATTTAGAAAGCTTAAAAAATAAAAAATTGTTTTCTTTTAAAATTTAATTGAAAAACCAAACTCTCAGAGAATATATTTTGTTGCATTCTACTCCTTTCCCTCTCCTCCCTTTCTCTTAATTCCCCTCAGGTTATCAAATAATTGTTTGAGTTTGCTGTTATTAATCAAGGCCCGAGACCGAAGTGAGTGAATCTGTCAGCCCTTCCAACCTATCGCAAAAAGATGATTTTTCCCAAAATTTTTTCTAAACTTCTTTTCACAATTGGATATCTCCAATATTTTAAATGACAAGTGATATGATTTTATTTATTGTAAGCTGTTTTGATTTTTTATTTTTATTTTTTACTTAAAGTGGTGTAATAAAATAACTAGTGGTGTAAATAAATAAATATAATGCAAGACTAAACTTTTGATGCAAGCATTTTAAAATACTATCAGTGCCCCAAATCTGTCAGGCCTTTCAAGGTCCCAGAGAAAAATTCAAACTGTTGGAATCTCAAATGCTTCTCTGGGGTAACTAAATGCGCTACCGTAACTACGCGTTAAATTTAAATATTTTCTAAAATTAGGCTTACTTTTCTAAATTTTTCGAATCAACTTCACTCATTTTGTCTTCAACTCCCTCAACAGTTAAATAATTAAATAATAAAAATGAAATAAATAAAATCAAAAACATTTTAAAATCTAAAAAATTTAAAATAGGTATTTAAAACAAGAAAACCGATTGGCTGGGTTTGACCCAGGGTTCTGATTATTTATTAAAATTATTTATTAAAATATTATTTTCAAAAATTAATTGAAAATGATTGTATTCAAGGGTATTTTTAATTTATTTAAATACTTCTTAATTTCTATCAAAAAATATTAAATATTCATCTTTTATTTTTTGTCTAGACTTGACATCTTTTAATTAAATATTTAAGACATTAAATATTACACAAAATAGTAAATATTTTAATTGTTTATTTTAAATTTAAATGTTTAAATAAATACATTTCCTTTTAATTTTTGATGTGCACTTTTAAATTTAAATAAAAACTAGTTTTGAATTTAGTAGAATATAAATTATTTAAAATTTAATTAATTAAAGACAATTAAGAAAATATTATTTTCTAATTTAAATTAAGTTATTAATTGTTGGGTGATTGTTTTTATAATTATTTAGAAGAGAGAGAACAATTTAGCGGGGCATTTAAAAGCATTAGTGACCTAAAACAAGGGCTGTTGAGGTACATCAAGAGGGATATCGGTGGATTTCGACGATAGCGAGAGTAACAAGTTTGTTTTCATTGGATTAATTCGGATATTGGCAGATTAAGCTAGATTTCGAGATTCATGAAAAAGATGGTATTGAGATTTGGGATTCTTGTGTCCGCTCTTACAGAAAAAATTTTAAGAATTTTGTTAAGGCAAGTATCCAGATATCTTTTTTAGCATGGCACTTTCCAAAAATATGTATATAAAGTGTGGTGTTTCCCTTACCAAATTTTTCAAAACGAAACACGGCCTACATGAGGCTTTGCTGGATTTTTATAGAATCACACTCATCTAAATTAAAATTAAAAACTAGTTTTTAATTTAAAAGTGCAACATCAAACATCAAAAGGAAATACATTTGTATATATTTAATTATTCTTTTCCTTTTGAGTGTTTCAAATTTAAAATAAACAATTAAAATTTTATATTTTTGTGTAATATTGATATTTAATGTTTTAAATATTTAATTTAAAAGAATGTTAAGTCCAGACATAAAATAAAAGATGAATATTTAATTTGAATAGAAATTAAGAAGTATTTAAATAAGTTAAAAATACCCTTAAATACATTCATTTTTAATTATTTTTTAAAATAATATTTAATTAATAATCAGAACTTCTGGGTCAAACCCAGTCAATCGGTTTTCTATTCTTTTAAATTTTAAATGCTTTTTAATAAAATTTTTTAGATTTTAAAATGTTTTTGATTTTATTTATTTCATTTTTATTATTTAATTATTTAATAGTTGAAGGAGCTGAAGATAAAATGAAAGAAGTTGATTTGAAAAATTTAGAAAGGTAGTAAGTCTGTCTAGAAAATATTTAAAATTAAATATTAAAAGGTACATAATATTTTAAATAAGAATTAATTTTAAAAATATTTTTTCTCTATCGAGTCAAATCAAAAATAAATTTTTTTTAAAGTTTTCTAAAAAATAAACGTTGGAGTTATGAATATCGTTGGGGAAATGCAGCTAATAATAATAACAATAATGGAGGAAATTGTTGTCAAAGCGGTTATAATTCAAATGGAAATCCTGGTACTAATTACCAGTATAGATGGTCAAATAATTAATTAGATATATTTAAACAGTCTCTTATTTGAGACCAAAAATAAATATATATTTTGAATAAATTGTGTAGAATAAAAGAATTATTTTTTTTATTTTATAGTTTATTTTACATTACTAAAAATAAAATAAATTTAAATTTTTAGGGCAAATTAGTTTCATTTTTTGTGTAATAAAATAATTAAATACTTAATAAGTCTTTGGAAATTTTAAATTTGCTCTCACCTGTATACTCCCAATTTTGGCCTCGTAACTAAATTTTGTTTTTTCTCGTACATGGGAAATGTGAAAAAAATTAAAATATTTATAATTTTCTGAAGTTAAGGACATCTAAATTTAAATTTTTAGCAACTTAGGTGAAAATTTTTAAAAAATCTCACTTTTTTGTATTTGCGATGTCCTAGTGATTAAAGAGGATTCTTGCTCTTTAACTTTCTATCACTTCACAAAGTTTTTCTATCCAAAATCTTAATATATATGTTAAGAAAATTATTATTTAAATTATAAGTTGCATTTTTCTACGAAACTTTATGCTACTTTTATCAATTATCACAAAAATTGCTACACAAATGTGAAAAATATCAACAATAACATCGTCAATCCTGATTCTTAGTCTCAATGCATTTTAACTTTAAATTCTATAAAAATATATTATATTGAATCCTGTTATTCATATATTAGATACTAATTTTAGTTTTTAAATAACGTTATTTTTCGTTATGCTATTAGGACGTGATATCCAGTCGCTTAAACATATATAAATTTTAACACTCTCGAATAGATGTGAAAAATATGTGTGAAATGTAAAGGAATAACAAGTATACAAACAAAAAGCATTTCACTTATATGTAGTTTGTTCGTCAAAATATAAAGCTCATTGCACATGTAACTCTTAAAGCTAGCAAGTTATAATAATATAGGAACAGTGAAGTCGGATATAAATTTAAAACAGACGAATACCCGCTGACATATCAGTAGTTTTCTTGGATAATATACATAGGTATGCAGAAGACTTGTGAAATGATTAGGTATTACATTGTATGTGCGGATATATGGATATTAAAGTGTGTTAATAATTAAAGACCTACATGTCTTATTCAGAAATTTTGTATAACTGTTTATTACCGTAAATAAGTTATATTTCCCGGACCCGGGAAATATTCATTCATTTATATTCAAATAACAGATAAAGAATATTATAAACAGCCGCTAACTTTCACTAAGTGGTGAGGGGATTGGAAAAACATGTAAAAAACGTATGCCATGTCATTTTTATTCATTAGTTCATACATTTTCACTTTCAATGAATTATATAGATAATTATAACAGATGTAAATAAGAGGTGGTACTTGTATGTATTTAAAATAATCTTTTTATATTAAAAAGGCCCTAAAAATTGTCAGCAAAAAATACTACCTCTTCTTTACAATTGCCATAATGTTTACAATTATGCAATCATTAATGTGTATAATCACTTATTTTGTAAAAATTACTTATATTAATCATCAAGCACGCAAACATTATTGTAGTCACATTCATATCCATCAGGGCAGGATACATATTTACCACAGGGATACGGCGTAGTAGTTGCTGGGGTTGTCGTCTCAGTTGTAGTTGTCGGAGTTGTGGTAGTTGTTGGGGTTGTAGTTGTTGTCTCAGTTGTAGTTGTCGGAGTTGTGGTAGTTGTTAAGGTTGTAGTTGTTGTCTCAGTTGTAGTTGTCGGAGTTGTGGTAGTTGTTGGTGTTGTAGTGGTGGTTGTACTTGGGGTTGTAGTTGTTTTCGGTTTTTTGGTTCTTTTGGTCGTAGTTGTTGTTGTGGGTGTTGGTTTTGGCACACAATTACCATAATCACATACTTCTCCATATTTGCAAGTTTTACAATTATAATCCTCATCACAACATTTTTTATTGTATGTAGTTGTAGTGGTTGTTGGAGTTGGGGTTGTAGTTGTTGTTGTTGACGTGGTTGTAGTAGGGGTTGTCGTTGTAGTTGGGGTTGTAGTAGGGGTTGTGGTTGTAGTTGGGGTTGTGGTTGTAGTAGGGGTTGTGGTTGTAGTAGGAGTTGTGGTTGTAGTAGGGGTTGTGGTTGTAGTAGGGGTTGTGGTTGTAGTCGGTGTTGTGGTCGTAGTCGGTGTTGTGGGTGTTGGTTTTGGAACACAATTACCATAATCACATACTTCTCCATATTTGCAAGTTTTACAATTATAATCCTCATCACAACATTCTTTATTGTTAAAAGAAATAAGTTTACAATTAAAATTGCTTACTTTTATTAGCTTCTAACATAGAGCATACACACAAATGTAACAATATAACTGCTAACACCTTAATAATATTCATTATCTTAAGCATAAATATTAAATATTACCTTCATTTCTGTTATTGTTATATTTGAAATTTTATTTAAAACTGATGATTATTAATGATTGAATTCTGCTTTTATATACTTCCTTTTACAGTTAAATATGTATATTTTAATTTTTTTAAACATTTTTTTCAGTATCTCGCTAAATATTTTTATAACAAAAGTCATTGTTATAATTTTTTATAAATTTGTTGGCAATCTTTAGACATAATAAATACGTGTAACTTTCTTAGAGGAAGTAAAAATTCACATGTTAAATCACAAATTAAATGACGTTTCGGCTCGTATTGGAAATTTGAGGGAGATTTTATTGCTACTATCTTTTCTAAGGATTCAAATCTTCGTTACTGACTTAGCCGTACTTAACAGAATTTAATCACAGAATTTTAAGATAGCAATTTTTATTTTATCCCAGATTTTGCGCCTAAATTTCCCATACCTCCCTCATTTGTCACGATTTATTTAATTTTTCAATAAATTTTCTAACAAATAAAAATTCGTCATTCTAAGTTTTAAACAAATAATTTTTTTTATTAAAAATTACTCATTTTATTTTTTAATAAAATTTTCTTCCTCTTTTCTTATTTTTATCATTCTTTTGAATTCTTTAAAAAATTGTCTTTGTTTATTAAAAATAATCACGGTTATAAGTATTTCATTTGTCATCATGGGATCGAGTAACTTTTACAAACTAATATGATTTAAATAATAATTTGGAATTAAGTATGTACGAGTACGAGGATTATGTTGAATTAATAAACTTATCTAAAATTATTAAAAAGAAATTAACAGGGAAGATAATTTTCTAGGCAGGTTCTTTTTTCTTGCCTTTAATTAATGCTTCCTTCACTTTTTGTAATAATAATTCTAATAAAATTATTTTAAATTAGAATAATTTATACAAAAAAATTCATTCATTATATTATTATACATACATATAGGAAGGTAAATGTCAAGTTCGTAGTCCCCATGTCCGCAAGTTACTTTCTGAAAAATGCAACTTTGCGCATTATTATACTCGTTTACTCTCTCTACTATAATTTTCCTCAGGTTGTTAACTGATAGATTGGCAGGTTGGCGCGAATAATAAAGGGAGCAAACATGTTCTTTCTCCCAGTCCTTATCACTATATGATGATATCCCAAACTTCAGAGCCCATCAACTTTGTTGCCATAATTTCTCGTATTTTTCTTCATATTCTTCCTCTTAATCAAAATTTACATTGCCTATTTTAATTGCATCTTTACTCTTCTTTTCCTCTTCATCCCATATTGACATTCTTTTATTATTGGGGACTACGAGCTGGATATTTACCATTTAGGAAATTTAATCAAGCGGATATAATTAAGGTTGTTGGAAAAAGCAAAACAAACAAGAGATCTTATTTTAAATTTAATTTATTATTCAATTTATAATTTTTATCATTTAAATTTAAGTGAAAGATTATCATATAAATTATTATTTTGTTGTAAAAAGAATATGTGTTTATGCACAGTCGAATCCTGATCATACGTTACACTTCGAGATAGGATTTAGTCGATCTGTATTAGGAGAAAATGTATGATTGGAGTGACGTATGAGAGAGAAAACCCCAAGAAAAATATTGTGGTGTAACAAAGGAATATATCATTAAACTATTCATTTATTGGATTAAAAGTAGTTTCTATTTTATAGAAAAATATAGGTACACTAAGATGTTGAATCACGAGTTATTGAAGTTTAAACCATTTTAATCGAATATTTTTATCTTTATATTTTTAATTCAGGCAGGAACAAGTAATATGTATTTAGTTAATCTGGAGGAAATATTTTATATCATAGGATCTTTCCTGCCATTATAAGAATTCAATTAACATTTTTTTTAATTTTTAATAAAATAAATTTAATTATTTTTTGCCGTTTTTATTCAAAATTTAAATCTAAAAATATATTCTAACCAATTAATTATTTTTTAATTATTGTATATTTATTCTCCTTTTTTTAAATTTCTTCATTTCTTATTTATGTTGTAGTTGTAAATATTTCAGTAGTTTTAGTGTGGTGTTTGTATCCTTCTCCTTTAGGATAAGCTTCAATTTCATTAAAGCTAATAATTAAAATTAAAACAAAAATAAAGAAAAATAATTTATTTAAATTATTTAACATTTTTTGTTTGAATATTTTTGGGGGGTTTTTATAAAGTTTTTAGTAAATTTTTGGTGATAAATTTAGAAATTTTAATTTGCTTTAAATATTACCCAAAAATAGTAGTTTGTATTTTATAAAAGTATTTTTAAATATTTTTATATTATAAACGTGGCAAATATATGTTGAAAAACTTGTTTTGACCTAAAATTTTTTTAAGTTATTTTTACCCTAAGTTTATTTTTACCTTAAAAACATCTCCACGTTTATATTTTTTAACAAAAAATTCTTTTAATATTGAATCATTCCAAGGGCAAAAGTCAAACAAAAACAACATAAATTAAAAAAATAAGATTTTTTATTAAATTGTAAAGGAGTGTTACATATATTTTGTTATTCAGTCAAAAAATTTTAATAATTTTTATTAAAAATAATTCTGAAAGATAAGTATGCCAAACAAAGTTGTTATCATCAATTCGAGAGAGAATACTGACGTGTGTTTTTAATCTTTGCTTTT